GCCATCCGTACATGTGACCGTCATCCCGTTAGCGCAGCCAGCCTAGCATGGGGGTTTAGAGGCTGCTGTGGTGTTGGGATGCTTCATAAAATCTGGTCCATTGTTAAAAGAGGGCTCTCTGGGGACTTCCCCGGCGGTCCAGTAGTTAAGACTTTGCCTTCCAATGCGCAGGGGGTGCCGGTTCGATCCCTGGTCAGCGAGCTAAGATCCCACATGTCTCGTGGCCAAAAACCCAAAACAGAAGCAATATTGTAACACATTCAATAAAGACTTCAAAAATGGTCCACGTCAAAAAAATCTTAAAAACAAAAACCCACAAAAAACCAAAGAGGCCTTTCTGCCTGCTGGGTCAGACACAGTTATTGCAGCCACTTCCCCTTGGCGTAAAACTGCTCAATAACTGAAATCTGAAAGCAGCAAAATCATGTCCCTGAGACAGTTCGGTTCTTGAGTTGCAAGCAACGGAAACCGACTCAGACCTTAGAAAATGATGCGTGGTTCTGTAGCAAGGATGTCAGCTGAACTCACACGGTGTCCAGAAAGGCCAGAAAATGGGTCTCAGAAACACCACAGGGCAGCTTTGCGTGGCAGGAGTACGTCATCCCTTTTAGCCAACAGCAGCCCTTTCAGCCTGTCGCCTAGGGAAGGAGCAGTTCCAAGAAGAAATCTGGTGCTGTTATCCAGATAAGGTGGCATCAAGGCTGGGTGGCCAAAAAGTTACCGAAGTCCTCCCTGGGGCCCACCCCTTTCCACCTTGGAATTCATGAGGCCTTTGCACTTGGCATTCACCGGAGCGCTGGCCACTCTTAACAAAACTCCGGCATCTCAGCCCGGCGTCATCTTTGTTTTCCACTGAGTGTGTCTAATTGCACAATTATTTGTGTGCAGCTGCAGCTCTAAGCAATACCAGGTCCGGGGCAGACGTCAGAGCTGGCCTGGAGCTGGGGCTCTGCGTCCCTGCTTGTGCCAAAGGGAGCCTGAAACCAGCAAGTAATTGACACCAGGGGAGTCGGCTAAGCTCTCTGCCCTGCAAAGTTAATGCTGGACAAGTTGTTGAAAGCAGTGCACTGGCACACTTTCCTAGGTGTGTCTAGTTGCAGCTGGAATTATTCTGAAATGGATAGACCGAGTTCATCAACGGAAAGGGGACTGTAGAAAGGGAACGGTCATTTTGACTACAGGGCCACCAGGACCCTCTGGCCCTCATTGGCAGGTGTTTCCTCGGACTCTGCGGGGTCCCTGGTGCTGTTTGAGGCAGTTCTCCTTGTTCCCTTAGCTGGTCTCCTTGACTGTAAAATGGGAATAAGATCAGCGTTGTGTGATTCTTACCAGCCTTGGAGTCTGTGGGGCTTGTTTCTTGGGGTCCTAGCAGTGTCTAGTAGTTGGCAGCCTCGCTTTTGATCACAGACTCGTTTTGCATGACTTCTCATTAAACGTTGTGCCTTGCTTTTCTCCCCTAAATTCCCTTGACCGTAGAGGAAATAGGGCTTCTCCCTCCAGCCTGAGAGCCAGCCCCTGAGTTGGTACTCCATTTTCCATAGTCTCTGAAAGGGTCATTTGCCATCTTAATACCTACAGCTCTTAATCCATAATGTGTCAATTCTGTTCTAATACACTAAAATGTTTTCAAATTGTTAGAAGCACTGAAGGATGTTGATTAACGTGAGGTGAGATAAAAAGTCGAATTGCAACTTCGTCTTCCCAACATTTCCTGGGGTCTTCTGGGTACCTCTGTCCCCGACTCCAGCAAGACTGTAGGGACAGAGGGTGCTGGGCACGGTGGCTTGAAAGTAATTGGATTCCAAGGTGTGCAGGTGGCTGAGTCCCTTCTGGAACTGAAGGAGCATGTATATACGGTATGGCCTCTTTCTTTGTAGAAGCAGACCTTGGCAGTGACCTGGCTAAGCTGTCTCTCATCCTCAGGGCTGGGGGTCTCACGTGGTCCCCGTAAAGCCCGGTCCTCAGCAGCCCCACACTATAGTCCCTGCACCTCATGCAAAACACCTGCGAATCTCGCCCACTCCCACCACCCACCGAGCTGTCCCCACTCAGCATCCTTCCCCATCCTGAGCACCTCTGAGCAGCGTGATACCCGTTGTTTCTCCATCTCCTGCCTTACCATAAAGAGCTTGCAGCCGGCATCCAAGCCTCAGGCCTCAGGAACCTTGGCGTCTTGTGGACCAGCCTCAGCTGCATTCTGCATGCCCAGCCTGAACGAGGGCAAAGGGTGGGTTTCACCAAAGAGAAAGGCGACCCAAGTCGGGGAGGGAGACGATCGCTAGGCAACCCGGAGTTTGTTTCCCAGGTAACGGGATGCATGCATTGATGCTGTGGATGGACATGTTGTGGTGACGGCCCCTCAGCCTCTCCAGACGCCTGCCTTGTGCCCACTGTCGTTTTCCCATGTGGTTGCTTTTTAATTAACAACTCGGATTTCCAGTCGTGATCATGAACTTTAGAAACGTTGTCTGATTAACCCTCCTGCCAGCAACCCCCAGAGTGAAGTCGGGGTGTTGTCACCCTGTGGGAGGGGCAGCCCGGGGCAAGTGAGCACATCTGCTCACGGTGTCCTGCAGGGGCCCCACCTTGGGCTCCGTAGGAGGTGTGTGGGGCGGGGGCAGAATCCGGAGGGGGAGAAAGGGTCCTTGGGGTGTGGTCATCTCACTTGACCGAGAGGGCAGGTGTAGGAACTTTAGTGCGTCGACCCCGAGTTGGCACCAGCCGCCCCACCTTCCTGCTGCTTCCTCCGGTGACGTACTTTCCACCTTGTGCCTCCATTTCCTCTTCTCTGAGGGGGACGGTGGTGCTGTCTCAAGGGTGAAGTGAGAAGGTGGGACCCGTGCAAAATTACTGCTCCCCCCTTCTCCCTCCGTGGGGTCTCCGGGGCTCCTGTCTGAAGCTGTCAGCCTTGGTCTTTGGGGGAACCTTCTCCTCCTGTGCACACAGCACCTCAGCTCTTGTGGACCTGTCGGGCAAAGCAGGATGCTAGCAGGGCGCTCGCCAGCCCCCCAGCAGCCCGCCAGCCTTGGTGCCTGTGCCCCGCCTGCTGTGTGAGTTGAGGGCTGGTGAGGATGCGGGGTAGGGGATCCCTGTTCCCACTCAGGACAGAGAATGTTGAGGCTCAGCTTCATTGGGGATCCAGGTCCTGAGGCGGCAGTGGGGCTTTGGCTGTCACTCGCGGGCTGGGAGGGCCCATGAGCACTTGCGAGGCCCAGCCTGGGGCCGCCCAGAGGTGGCCTGCCCGCCCCCGGCTGCCCCAGCCTGTTCTACTGAGGCCAGGACAAAAGCCTCTTCTCTGCTCCGCATTCAAAGAGATGCTTGTCCCCTGATGCTGCAGCTGTGGCGTGGGAGCGCGCCGTCTGGGGCGGCAGTCGTGCGGGCATGCGGCACTGAGTGCGGGCTCCAGTGGCACTGGGGCCACAGCACCAGACCGGGGGCTCCTCTTTTAGCATCTAGCCCAAGCGTGTGGCTGACTGGGTCCCGAGCCCTGGTGGCTGAGGAGGTGCCCCACCCAGTCTCAGGGCTGCCACGTGGGGAGCCCTCCTTGCCAGCCGTTCTGAGCTGGGAGGCAGAGGTCCCGCAGATGAGCGTGCCAGCGGCTCCCGCTTTGGCCTGCAGGAGCGCGCTCAAGCCCAGTGGCCAAGGTGGTCCCCAGAGGAGAGGATAAGTAGATTCCGTGTGTGGGGAAGGAGACACAATGGGCTGAGCCGGGCCTGGTGCAGTGGCCACGGTCAGAGTTTATCTGAACATCTGAAAACCTCCCATGCATGGAAAGCCGTCTTCTTGTGACTTGTGCTCTGTGACATCAAACACTTGTGATTTGATGAGAAAGCGGGAGGTGCCCTGTCCTGGCCACCTCAGTGCGGCAGTTTCTCCCGAAGCCCAGGGGTGTTTCTCCCATGCCCAGGGCGGGGAGGGTCATGGTGATTCCACATTGGGGCCAAACTCCAAGGCCTTCCCGTGTGAACTTGAAAGGAATGGTTTAGTGGAGGAGGAATTGCCCTGGGCTGGTGCGTGTGCCGCTCGTGTGCCCCTTGTGACGGGTCCCCACGGCGGAGGGCGGACACTCCTCCCTCGTCTGGGTTGGAGGCGCTGCAGCTGCGCTGGGCTGGAGAGCCAGCACTTAGGCAGCGAGTAGGGAGGCCCACCCCCGGCCTTTCCCCACCGAGCTATGGGGTCGAGCATCCTTTGTCTCCATCAGAAGCACCAAGACGTGAGACGGCTCTGGCTGGTCCAGGCTGCCGGCAAACCATGCTTACTCTCTGGTCCTTTGAGAAATTCCGTTTGGTCTTCTGAGTCCCCGGCAAGCCGCTTGGCCTCACACGCACACCTTCTCCAGCATCTTGGACTGGCTTCGTCTCCTCACCTGGCCCAGGTGAGAGGGCCCCTGAGCCGTGCCCAGGGCGCCTGTCCCCCCAGGGGTTTCCTCCAGGAAGCTTCCATGGGATGCTGGTGCCTCAGTTGTCCCGTTTCATTTTGCACCCTCTGGTGCCTGTGCGGAAGGGCAGTGGGAACAGGGAGGCACAGCGGAGGGAGGGGCCGAGAGGTGGAGCCTGCTCCAGCCTGGGGAGCCGTGGGCCAGGCCCCGCCTGTGTCCCAAAGGCCTCTGGGCCTTGGTGGTCTGGGAGCACACAGGTGGTGCTGTCTGTGGTGGCAGAGGCAGGTGTGGGCCTGACCGGGTCCCTGGGCCCGAGTTCCATGTGGCGGTAGAGCTTGCGCCGCAGCGCTGCCTGTTAGCTCCATGTGTGCTCGCGGATGGAGGCATCTCAGCTCCTGCGGCGAGGGAGCCGCACAGATGTTGCCACTCAGTCTCCTTGGCTTGTCTCAGCATCCTCCCCGGAGGGGGAGGCACACGGACGGTGGGGTGCGGTACCTCACTGGGAAGCACGGCCGGTGCGGGAGGCCCGGCCCTTTGCTGCGCTGTGCTGCCCCGCCGTGTGTGGGTGTGTGGGACGGCCGCTTCCCTAACCCACCCCTCCCGTCCTGTCCCCACCTCCCAGGTATCCGCCCCCAGATCATGAACGGCCCCCTGCACCCGCGCCCCCTGGTGGCGCTGCTCGACGGCAGAGACTGCACCGTGGAGATGCCCATCCTGAAGGACCTGGCCACCGTGGCCTTCTGTGACGCACAGTCCACTCAGGAGATCCACGAGAAGGTGGGTCCCCTCCTCACCCCGCCCGCCGGTCTGGTCCCCCAGGTCGGGTGGCAGCAGCTGGCATTCCGCGAGCAAGTGCTTGGTGCCGCTGCTGCCCTGATGGCCCCCCGCCTTTCCACCCTTAGGTCCCCGCTCGCCAGCCCCTATCACCTCCGTGGGCCTCCCTGACCACGCCTCCACTCCCCCCACTCCCCTGGCGTCACCGAGCAGGCCCCCGAGCACAGCCGGGGTGCCCTCGCCTGCGGGAAGCTGTCAACACCCAGGCCGCGTCCTAGCTGGCTCTTTTCCCGCTGGAATCCTCTGTTGCGTGTTCAAGGGCAATGGGGGCCTCCAACCTGTGCTCTGCTCACCCCGTCACAGGTTTTAAATGAGGCTGTCGGCGCCATGATGTACCACACCATCACCCTCACCAGGGAGGACCTGGAGAAGTTCAAGGCCCTGAGAGTGATCGTGCGGATAGGCAGCGGCTACGACAACGTCGACATCAAGGCTGCAGGCGAGCTCGGTAAGTGCCTGGCGGGTGCCCGGTGAGTGCCCAGTGAGTGCGTGCTGGGGCAGAGGCAGCAGAACACACAGTGCCTGCTTCCAGCTGGAGGAAGGGGGTTGGTTTCAAAGGGAACCTAGCCAGGCACACCTCCGAATACACAGGTAGAAGCGTCCTGCTGGGCTCAGAGGCCTCACCTTGGGACCCGCGGGGCTGGGCCGGGCTGTGTCGCTTGGGAAGGATGCTGAGCCAGACCAGCCCCAGGCCCTTCCCTGCAGAGGGGACGGTGAGTTGCCGTACCTCTGTGTCGGTCGGCCAGGACCCATCAACCTGGAATGAACTTGTGCTGGGTGCACAGCTCAGGGTTTCTGGGTCTCCTCCAATCCTGGGATGGTGCTGTCTCCCCAAGGGCTGCTGTCCACACAGGAACCTTCCTAGGTCAGGGCCAGTGCAGGTGGACCACTGCACAGCCCCTCCTGCCCATCCCTTGCCGTTAGGGGTTTCCAGAGAAGAGCAGAGGCAGCAGATGGACACCCAAAGTCGGGGCTCCCGGCCACTTTCCAGACCCCGGGCCGCAGGCGCCCTGAGGCGGGGGGGGGGGGGGGGCTTGGCGTGGCGGCCTCCCTGTCCCGGCACCTGGCGTGGGCTCTGAGTGTGTGGAGCGTTTGCAGAGGCTCAAGCGGCCACGCTTTGACAGCAGGAGTCCCCAGGCTGCCCTGCTGTCTTTGGAGGGGCCAGAAGGGTCCTTCTAGACTAGCCCCTCTCTGGTGACTGTCCTGCTGTTTTTGAAACATGCCGGCCCTGCAGCCAGTGTGTGGGGCTGTGATCTGCCTGGTGCCCTGCAGCCATGAGGCTGAGAAGGGGTACCTCAAAATGGTCAGGAACCCAGGCCTTTATGCCCCTGCCTGCTCCCGCCCCAAGCCAGCCTCTCAGCCCCACGGAGCCAGTGCTCCGTGCTAACCCTCCCCTGTCCCGAGTGGGGTGCTGTGCAGTGGTGGTTCAGAAGATTGATCCTGGTTTTTCTGGGTCACCCCTGGCTGGTCTCCATCGTCTCACCCCCTTCCTTGGGGGGGGGGGTCGCTTGACCCTGTACAAGAGGAGAAGGGGTTATGACAGCGGTGGCTTCCCACGTGCACCCCAAGCCTTTGCTTCCAGCCTCAGCATCACTCTGAGCCCCTCTCTGTCGCCACGGAGAACCTTGGGAGGATGCGAGTCTTCAGAAGCGTGTCTACTGTAAACTAGAATTCTCCAGTTTTCCCTGGCACTGAGAGGAATGTTTTTGTTTGAAAACAAATGTTCTTTGTGCTCTTGATAGAGCTGAAATCTCAAGTTCGAGCGGTGACAGAGAATGTGGCTCGACACCCCGGGGGGCTCGCGATCCTTTCCCTTCACCTACCTCCTGTCTCTGCAGCATCTGCCCCTCGTGACACCGCCACCCGCAATGTGTGTGACATTGGGCTTCCTTGCCAGGGCCCGGCCACCTCTCTCGGGGGGCCAGGGAAGGGGGGATGCGGGGGGAGATGGGATTGGAGGTGCCCGCGAGGGAACGTCCCATCTCCGCAGTTGTAGAAGCTGCCTCGCGGGCAGACTCGGGACCCGGGTGGGGCGGCCGTGTCCCCAGAGGCCCGCCGGGGGCCTGCGATGTTGAAAGATGTAAACGGCATGTCCGCGGTGGCCTTTTCGTTGATCCTGGTCCAGTTTGATAAGGGAGCTGCTTCGGGGACATCTGCTGGGCCGTTTTGAAGGCAGTTTTCAAATGTGGGCTCTGCAGAAGGAAAATGGGCCCCTGTCCAGCCGTCCTTTGTCTCCAAATGTACTTCCCAGCTCATTCGGTCAGCTGACCTGTAATGAGGACAGAAGAGCAGGTGGCTCAGGTCTCTGCCCCTCCTGATGACGTCCGGGCCCACGGCGTGTGTTCCCGGGAGGGCAGCTCCCCTCCAGCGTTCCCTGGAGCCCCGTCCTGAAGGCTTCGGGGCCCAGGGCACCTCGCCTCCGGCCCTGACATGATGGGCAAGGTGCTTCCTGTTCAGAGCAGGGAGGGGCTGTGGGCCGCCAGCCGCAGGCAAGGACAGCACCTGGGCAAGTAGAGGGGTCCTCCCCATCTTTAGTGTCACCCCAAGATCCAGGAGGAAGCAGTGGGAAGTTGGAAGGTTGCTGGAGAGAGCTAGGGCCCAGACTGAGCGCCACGCACTGTCATTCCGTGAGCCTTTCTGGCCAAGCTCGTTAATCTGGCGTCCAGCCTGGTCCAGTTCAGAAGGCGTTAGAGCAAAGAGCAAAAGCGTCAGCTGAGGGGAAAAGCAGCTCAGCTCTTGGGCTCGGACTTCGGGTCCACGGGGGCTGCAGCCTTGCTCTGTGGGTGCCAGCAGCTTGTCCTCATGGCATTTGGAGAATCACCCTTAAGGTATGAAGAACAGATTAGGAGTTTCCCCTCAAGAGGGTGGTCAGGGCTATAGAGTTTCAGCCATCAGGGCAGGACGTCTCAGAGGATGCCAGCAGCACCTCCTCCCAGGCCTTGGGGCACCCCAAGCCCATGTATCCGCTTTCCCAGACCTTGGTCTTGGGCTCTCCACACAGGCACAAGAGCCAAGGAGCTACATTTCAAAGTTCTAGTGCGAAGGCGGAGACATGGCCCCACTGCGGTCCCTCGTCCCCTGGGCGGGCTGGTGCAGTGCTTTATCTCTCGTGGACGCACAGATTCTCTCCTCCAACCTCATCACATCTCGTCCCACCTCCCAGGGTGCAGGGGGGCCCCTGGGCCTGGGCAGTGGCTGCGTCTGCAGCAGAAGGTCCACACTGGGCTGTTCTGCTGCTGGACCTTCCCCCTGGGCTTCAGGCAGAACAGATCAAGCCCCACGAGGAATGGAAATTGTCCCAGCTGCCAAAAGATTTTCTTATACCACTGGCATCTGCCTCCGTCTATCCAGACTGTAGTAATCCTGACTTCTAGTCTAGCCCCAGATCCTGTGCTTGGTCATTTCAAATGAAGTGGGTGCTGCAAGACGACTGACTTGCAGCTCGCGGAAGGTTTGTCAGCCTGGATCTCAAAACCTCATCCCCTGGCAGGTGGGGCAGCACGTGGATGCTTTCACCCTGGGGGCTGTGTGTCCTCCTGAAGGGGTCACTGAGACCCTGGACCTCAGGGCAGCCCTCGTGGGGTGGCGACACAGCTGCTAGGAAGGGGTGCTCCACGCATTTGGTGCTGTTTTCTGTCCGGTGGAGCTGCAGGTGCTCTCTGCCCAGGCTCCTGACCCGAGAAGATAGAGGAATGCAGGCGCCTTACGGGTGGCCTGGCCCTGCATCCCTGGCTGTGACTCCGGGGGCCCCAAAAGGGACGTTTTGAGCTGGGCCAGCATATGCTCCCTGGACACCTACATCCCTCCTTGGAAAGTGGCTGGACTGGCAGACCCCAGGCCTCGCCAGGGGAACGGGGCTGGATCTAGGCCCGCCGGCCCTCTGTGTGCCTGCCCCTCCCACATCTGGCAAACATTCTTCCCCAAAACACCCTCCCACTGAGGAAGGTCAGTGCCAGGGCCCTTCCTGCCTGAGACTTGGGGCAGTTCTCCCTGCAGTCCTCAGCTGCCGGCCTCCTGGTGCTGGGAAACGCTAGCCCTTCATCTCTATTCCTCACACAGAGTCTGAGGGATCATCTTCACCAGCTGCTCTCAGCCCTGAAAGCTCTTTCAGAAAGCAGGGTGGGCACCTGTCTGCTCTGTTGTCTTTCTGTCAGAGCGGGAGGGTGACTAGGGTCCACTGAGCAAATGTGGGGCTGGATTCAGACATCAGCTCCATCCTGTCCCAGCCCACGGGCCTGGAAGGTGTTAACTTTCTAATTCTTCTGTCTTGCCTTTAAAAAAAAAAAAAAAGAAGTAATAACATGTTCATTGCATTAGACTCTTAAAATACCATAAAACAAAAGGCTGCTCTCCATTACCCCAGCCCCGGCCTGGGGGGAGGATCCAGGAGGTTGCATTGCAAAGAGCCTCTGGTTTCCTGGATCCCAGAGACCATCAGGAGGGGGCCCTACACGCTAGCTTCCTGGCGCTGATCGGGGATGGTGGACGGAGCTTCCCAGGGACGTGGGGCCTGGAAGCACTGGGTGGGCCGGACATGGGGTCAGCAGGGGGCTGGGGGGTGAGCCAAGCCCCGGACAGAAGTCCTCCTGGGACGGCTACGGGGCTGGAGGTCCCTGGGCCTCAGAGCCAGACGGTCTGTGTCCTCTAGGTGACAAGCAGGCCTCAGAGACCCACACCTGCCCGGGGCCACACACATAGTCTGTGGCTGAATGGGCCACCTTTGCCACCCCTGCCCCTCAGCTGGGTGGACTGGGAGCCCTGGCGCTTCCCCACAGAACTTGGGGTTCTCATCCCAGCGCCTGGCTCTTGTCGTTTCCAGGGATCGCCGTATGCAACATCCCGTCCGCGGCAGTGGAAGAGACGGCCGACTCCACCATCTGCCACATTCTGAACCTGTACCGGCGGAACACGTGGCTGTACCAGGCGCTGCGGGAAGGCACGCGGGTGCAGAGCGTCGAGCAGATCCGGGAGGTTGCCTCGGGGGCAGCCCGCATCCGCGGGGAGACGCTGGGCCTCATTGGCTTCGGTACGTGCGCCTGCTCCGCAGGGACCACCTGGGGGAGGCAGGCCTGGCCCTGGAAGTCGGGGTGCGCTGCAGCTGTGCCTGTGGGAGGAGCTCGCTTGGGCCGGAGGAAGACCCTTGCCCTTCGCCGAGCTGCCTGGGGTGGGAGGTCAGAGGTCAAGACTGACCAGGGAACTCGCCCAGAGGTAAGATCTGGGCTGCTTCTGGAAGAATGGGTCTAACGTTGGCGGGAGGGCGCCCCAGGAAGGCGCCGTACTCCCTAACTGCCCTGGGTAGAGGGTGAGGAGCTGGTGGCTGAGTGGAGGCCCAGGCAGTGGGCAAGGCTCACCTGCAGGCGCCAGGCGGGGGTGGCAGTGGAGTCACTGAAGGATTTTTGCGCCAGAAGGTGGCGGGGTCAGGTCAGCAGCTTGGAAAGCTCCCCCAAGAGAGGGGGCATGGTAAGGCCTCCCTCTGCGGTGACACGGCGGGCGGCCCTGGGAGCGCCTGGGGCAGGTTCCTCAGGAGGAGGTGCGCCGCGGTGGAAAGCAGCCTGGCTGCCACAGGTGTTGGCAGCACTGGGCCCCGAGTCGAGCCCCGACTCGGCAAACGGGAGCCGACCTGGGCTTGCTCGTTGCTCACTGGCTCTGCGACCTTGAGGACAGAGCTCGACCTCTCTGCGTCAGTTTCTGATCTGTCAATTGGGAACGAGTGTTACACGGTTGCTGCCTGGAAGCACACGGGTGTGTTGTGACCAGGGCTTGGCTTCCAGAAGGCCCCCCAAGCTGCCGGTCAGCCGTCAGCTTGGAGCTCTGTGTTTCCGAATAACTGAGGGCAGGACCTCTGGGACGGCCACAGTGCTTCCTTGTGCCGCAAGTTCCTGTCCAGGAGGCCCGGGTACCGGCTGGAACAAGTAGAAGGAGCTGGGCTTCTTCCAGGAGCGCACATCTTTCCAGCACCCGGGTCTGGGTGCTAAGAGCCCAGGTTTCAGGGGTGATAACACTCAGGGAGCTAATCCTTTCGCCAAAGAGTCTGTCTTCATTTTTCTGGAGTGGAAGATACAATATGACTCAAATGCTGGTGCTCTGTGAGCCGCAGCGCCCTCTGCTGGTGCCCGCGGGGCTTCCCACCGCTCTGGGAAGTGGGTCTTGGAGACGGTTCTTAGAACAACGTGCATTCTTAAGCCGATGCACAGGCCTCAGGTGGGCTCCGGCCAGGGTGCAGAGCCTCACCTTGCGAGTGGCCCGGCCACCTGGTAGAACACTTGTTTCCAGGGCGTCTGACCGCAGCCATCCCAGCAAGTTCTTACGGGGGACGTTTCTTCGGCTGTACCCTTTGCCATCCATCTTTTGAAGGCCGGTCCTGTGAACTCCAGCCCTGTTTACTCAAGACCGTAAGCCAAGCACTGCCACAGTCCCGGAGCCCCCCTGCACGCTAGGTTTTTCCTTGCTACCTTTCCTGGTCTCTCTGGAGCCTCCCAGAACTGTAGGCAGAGCTGAGGCAGGAGGCGGCATGGTCATACACGGCCTCACGCCTCTGCTGCCGCCCTGACTGTTTGGGGCTGAAAGCCTCCGCTTGCCTAAGAGTCGGCCGAGAAGCAGCAGCAGAGCCCGGAGTGTGGAGCAAGTTCCTCCAAACCCAGTTCATGCCACCGCGCAGGGGCCTGGACGGGGCGCTGTCGCGAGCTTGACCCCAGCCCGGGCTGGTGGTGGGTACTGCTCAAGGCCAGCCTCCGAGTTGGGAATAAGCATGAAAAATCTGAAGGGAAAGCGTGCCAACAGTGACAGTATTTTTATTTTATGTTTTTGTTTGTTTTTTGGTTTGTTTATTTTGCGGTACGTGGGCCTCTCCCGTTGCAGGGCACAGGCTCCAGACGCACAGGCTCAGCGGCCATAGCTCACGGGCCCAGCCGCTCCCCAGCATGTGGGATCCTCCCGGACCGGGGCACGAACCCGTGTCCCCTGCATCGGCAGGCGGACTCTCAACCACTGCGCCACCAGGGAAGCCCTATTTTGTCTTTTTAAGGCCAAGGCAATTAGGTTCTCCTCTCTGAGGCTGGGTTTTGATCAAGTCAGTAAGAGTATTTATCATCAGGTCTTGCAAAATTTAGTCAGGAAAACCCCATGGCTGAAGTAGAGCCAGTGGAAAGATGAGGGTTCGTGAATTTATGAAAAGCAGAGCCATGGGGAAGGCTCTGGTGACCGGCCGTGACTCCGCCCCGGGCACTGCCGCCGGGACCCCATCTCCTGTGAAAGTGTGTTAGGACGCGGGGGGGAAGGAGGGCAGCTAAAGGCCGGCAAAGCGGGGGGTGGCGGGTGTGCTGGCGTTGGCCGTGAGCCCCAGCCGCCGCGTGGTGGGGGCGCTTGGTTCCGAACCTCGGGTACATCAGAGGGGGGTCTTCGGGTCACTGCTGCCCTTCCCGCCCCTGCCGTTGTGCTGGCTCCTCTGCAGTGTGGCTGTACTTCCTGGCTCGCCGTGTCCAAGTGGTGACACTGAAGAGGGATGGCACGAGGGGTGTGACCACGGGCGACCCCGCAGCTGTCCCTCCTGATCAGAATGGCCTTATCAGAGCTTTGCCTCCAGACCATGGTGGTGGTGGAACTGCCACCCATTTGGATTGCAGTTTCAGCAGGAGGCGGTGGCGGTCCGCCACCCCACCGCTCTCCCACGGGCTTCCCTTCTTCCCTTCTTCCTCCTGCACATTTGAGTAATGGTTTTCGAGCCAGATTTATTCTGCGCTCTCCCCAAATCAGCCCCTCCAGGTATCATTCACATCATTTTGTGTTCAAGCTGAAAACTGCTCTGGGAAGCAAGAGGCGCCGTCCATGGGGGTCAGCGGGTTTGCGCAAATGACGGCCACTCAGGAGTCAGGGAAGCCTTCGCGTCCTGTTAGGCGACGTTGCTGTCTAACTTGCTGGAGGCCTGACCCACGCTCCACGTGTGCTCAGAGCCCCACCTCTCAACCAGAGCACTTCCCCACATCCATCGGTGCTCAGGCCAGACTGCAGTGGTCAGTTTCGATCACTGTTCATGAGCAAACCTGGTGGCAGTTACACAAGAGAACAGTCCCTGTTCGACACTGAGAGCAATAAAGAGATGAAGCTCAGGTTAAGCAGCAAACAAGTAGGGGAAAGAGAAACACGCAGGAGATGATATCGGTGGTGGTTGGGAGCTGGCACGTGGAGTTCCCTAGATTGTTCTCTCTAGTTATGTCTATGTTTGAAAATGTGCCTAATAGGAACCTGAAAACAAAACAACTACTCTGGTAGCAAGTACAGGTGATAAGCACTGCCCTGCTCACCCAGAAGCGTTGGCCCGGCTCCGGCCCCAGTGACCTGGGGAGAAGTGCTGGCCTCAGGCGGCACCAAGCCCTGGGCGTTCAGTTCTCCCAGCACCACCACAGACTGGGTCCAACTGCCAGAAGTGCTGGAGGCAGCAGAGCTGCGGCTGGGCACCACGCAAGGTCCCGGCCTCGGGACGAGCGTCGGCAGGAGGCGCGGGGGCCTCGCTCACCTGGACGCTCTCTTTCTGCACAGGTCGCACGGGGCAGGCGGTTGCCGTTCGAGCCAAGGCCTTTGGATTCAGCGTCATATTTTATGACCCCTACTTGCAGGATGGGATAGAGCGGTCCCTGGGCGTGCAGAGGGTCTACACCCTGCAGGACTTACTGTATCAGAGCGACTGCGTCTCCTTGCACTGTAATCTCAACGAACATAACCACCACCTCATCAATGACTTTACTATAAAGCAGGTAAATTGAAATAAATGGTCTCAGACCCTGGAAACGTCTGTCAAAACCAAAGGGGGAATGGGAAACGGTCCAGTGGACACACCAGTGAGCAGAGAAGAAAGTCCCCCGAGGCATCAGCAAGGAGCTGGGCGGGGCCCCCTCCGTGAGATGGGCCGTGGTGAGCGGGGAGGGGCAGGACCCGGCCCAGGACCCAGCTCTGACCAGGCCTGGCCTCCAAGACAGCCAGTTGACAGGTCACGGCTCCCGCTGCCCCAGCTTGCAGCCCTCTCTCTCGGGGTCAGCGGGATCGGCCCCCCCGGCCCCCCGCTGTCACCGAGGCTCTGCGCTCCCTTCCCCCGCAGCCGCTGCGCGCGCATCCAACACCCAGACCCACTACCATCCACTGCCGCGGCTCCCTTCTTCAAACCTGGGTGCAGGCTCCTCCCAAGGCGGCAGCGGCGGCACCCGTTTACCAGCTTTTCCCTCCCCCTCGCAGATGAGGCAAGGAGCATTCCTAGTGAACGCGGCCCGCGGCGGACTGGTGGATGAGAAAGCCTTAGCCCAAGCCCTCAAGGAAGGCAGGATACGAGGGGCGGCCCTCGACGTGCACGAATCGGAGCCTTTCAGGCAGGTTTGGTAGCTCAGGGCTCGCACAGGAACTCGCAGGAGTCCCACTGTGACCTCGGGGCAGCTTCCCAGACGGGTCCTGGGTGGGCACCTGGAGACCAGGTTTACAGCCTCTGCTCTTCTAAGGTCTGTGCTGTATTCTCACCAAGTATAAAAGGGCCAGAAGTTCCCCCAAAGATGATCAGAAAGGGGACAGGCAGGAAGACAAATGGCGGTGAAGAGCAGGCTTTCCCCGTACTCTGGATTGCTCTGGTTGGAGGCAGGCTAGTCGGCCCTCCCTAGAATTGTCCCTTCTTTCCGAGTCCCTCGTGATGCCTGACGCTAATTACAGTTTTATGAGTATGTTCTTACAGTCCCAACCCTTAGGAAACAGACTGCAGAATCCCCCCCCCCCACCCCCGTTTTATCTGTGTGGCTAGCATTCCACACGGCCAAGGGCTCCCTTTTGACGAGCAGGGCAGGGAGTGAGAGTGAAGTGCGTTGTTTTCCTCATCTGCTGTGTTTTTTGTATACTCATCTAGCTTTGCTCAGGGTCCCCTGAAGGACGCACCGAATCTCATTTGTACACCCCACACGGCCTGGTACAGTGAGCAAGCCTCCCTGGAGATGAGGGAGGCGGCCGCCACCGAGATCCGCCGGGCCATCACAGGTGAGCCCTCCGCCACGCTGGCCGCCTCCGATCCCAGTGACGGACACGCGGAAGGGGGCGTGGGGCTTTGCTGCTGGCAGAGGTGGTCTCTAGGCGTCAAGTTGAAGAAATTCGGAATGAGTTAGGCCCCGTTTCTTTCAGGGGAAACCAATTCCCTTTTGTATTAGCCAGTGCAAGTCTCGCAAACCTGGAAGGGGAGGGAGCCCCAGGGGGAGCCGTGGGCAGCTCCCTTCTGTTTGGCTGGAGCCCAGTGTGGTTCAGGCCCTGGAACAAGTCATATGTTGTGGAAATACAAGGGCCGGCCCTTCCTATCAAAGAGTAAGAGACTTGCACTGTAGCTTGTCCCCGCATAACAGAGAAGTATAACATTTAAGTCACTATGACCTTGAAAAATACATATGATTACTTTTAATCATCTTATTCCAGGTCGCATCCCAGAGAGCTTAAGAAACTGTGTGAACAAGGAATTCTTTGTCACAACAGCTCCCTGGTCAGTAATAGATCAGCAAGCAATTCATCCAGAGCTCAATGGTGCCACATACAGGTGAGGAGAGGAATGGGCTGAGCCCTGCTCCCTGGGGGAGGGCGGAGACGGGGGACCTGGGGACGTTAAAGCCAACCTGAGCGCTAGTAAGAATTACACACTGTCCCCTCCTCTCAGTTCTTCCATTCCTCATTTCCGTGGAACAAACATAGTTTGGGGACAGAGCCGAGAATTGGAATTCCTATTTTAAAGGGGGTGCGGGGTACGGGTGGGTTGTGCATTCCCCAGCGGGTCTGAATCACTGTTCATTCCAAAGCCACTTGAAAACCAGAGGGTTTCTAGGTGAAAAGGTACAGAAAAGGTCATCAAGGAAGAGGGCCTGATTTTGTTTTCTAACTTGAACTTTCTGTCCAAGGAGAGCATTCTGGCCAAAGCCCAGTCCATTTGACGGGGGGGGGGGGGGTCTTTGTTTCTCCGTGAGGCAGGAAGTTTGACCCCAGGGGCACGTGACAGTGACAGAGTTTGGGTGGGACTGAGGCAAGAGAGCCTGCACTGGGGACACGAGCCAGGACCCTTGGAAGGGACCAGGGGTTTTGTCTGTGGTAGTTTTCCATGGTTCTCTTCCCCCAGCATGGCCGGTTGCAGGGAAATAGCTCCTCCCCCATAAAGGAGAGAAGCTGCAGCGTGGAATGCCAGAAGGGACCTTTTGTTCTGCTTACTCTGACCCAGGACTGCCCCACCTTGGCAGTACTGGGCCAGATGGCCCGTGCATTATAGGATGTATAGTGGCAGCCCTGGCCCCCACCCGCTAGAAGCCGATAGCACCTCCCACTCCCAACGGTGACAACTAAAAACGCCCCCCAGACACTGCCCAAGATCCCTGGTTTTGAACCACTGCTCTAGGGGGCGATTAAATATAGTCTGTGTAAAAGGACCCATACATGGACGCTCCTACTCTGGGCAAGGAAGCCAAGCAGTTTCTTCCCAAGTCACGTGGCTTTATTTGCACGCAGCATGTTCTATTAAAGGCCCACTTGGGTTTTACCCTCATAAGCATTTTCAAGCATCACTTGGGCCCAGCCCAGCACCAGATTGGATTCCCCTGTTTGTCCATGTTGGTGGCCTACCCTTTAAGGGTCACGTCCCTTAAAGGGTAGGCTCCTTGGCCCCTTGGAAAACACGTCCTAATTAGACAGAGCAAGGCTCCTTGGCCCCTTGGAAAACTGCTTGTGCTGGAGGGTTGCAGCTCACAGGGTCCTGTTCATCAGAGTCCTCCTGGACAGTCCCTGACCAGCGTCACTGTAACAGGCCGAGACCCCGTCCCCTTTACCGCAAGTGTGAAGGGTTTGATAACTTGGAGAGGAAGACTAATTCTAAAGCCCCTGCTTCATAAGTATGTTTTGTCCTCAGTGTTTAAATACACGAGTCACACCTGTGCATAATGTCCATGTGCTCCGGCGTGCACGCGCACACAGCCATTCCTGTGCCTGCAGGATAAGATGAGGCCACGTTCAGGTGCCCTCCAGGTACCCTGTCAGAGGGCAGGCATCCTGCCCATCACCAGCTCACCATCTCCCCTGCTGCTGCCCTGTCCCCACCCACATCTCAGGTTACGGGAGCCCGTAACTAACCAGCCTAGGAAGTCACACTTCGCAAGCGTACTCCATGCCCTCTGTTAGGAAATCATTAAAGCCTTTGATATAACTGCTGAATACTTTCTAACGCAGCCGGAAAACTTGGAATTTATTTTGTCCAAAACGTTTTCCAAATGCGACACGATTAATTAGTATAGTCTATTGCTGTTGCCTAAAAGCTACAAAATTAGTGCTTTGATTGGACTAACTAGGCTTTGTTGTTTATGAATTAGATGTCCATGTTTAACTTTACCATGTAGACTTCTTCTTGCTTTGGAGGTAGGAGGTATGACAACCCATCCCATAAACAGAGCAAGAGCTTGGCAGCTTCTGGGGCCTGAACTTAACCGGCCCTTTCTCTTGTGCCCGCCCTCCCTAGATACCCGCCAGGCATCGTGGGCGTGGCTCCGGGAGGACTTCCTGCAGCCATGGAAGGGATCATCCCCGGAGGCATCCCGGTAACCCACAACCTCCCCACAGTGGCACACCCTTCCCAAGCTCCCTCTCCCAACCAGCCCACAAAACACGGGGACAGTCGAGAGCACCCCAACGAGCAATAGCAGAGAGTGACGGAAGGTAACCATTCAGATACACCTGGGACCAAGAGACAGTGAAAAATAGATGAACTAAGAGAAAAGGAATCTGACAGTCTTTTTAACTGATTCTGGACATACGCATCATTGACGTTGCAGTGTTAAAACTACAAAGGAGCTCGAAGCCGAGACGTGGGAAAACTGAAGATGTCGTCTGGTTGTGGAAGCGCTGAAAAAGACTAGGACGTGATTTATTAACGACCAACTTCTGTTATTGTGTGTTAAGTTTTTCATCTGTGCATCAAATCACAAAGAATAAATAGATCTTTTTCCTTTATCAGTCCCTTGGACACAGCAGGTCCTGAACACCTTGCTCTAGAATGTTGCATCAGGAGTTCCAAACATCAAAATAAAAAATATTAAGAGGAAATCCCCATCCTATGACTCTAGTCCCTTCGGTCCACGGGGGCTGGTTACCTCTTTTGCTAATAGGAAGATTAAATTACTACAAAATGGGGAGAAAACTGTTTGCCTGTGTTAGACAACCGCGAGCATAGGATTGAAGACAGTACAGGCTCCTGTACAGAGAAGTCTCTCCCATCTGAACTGCATACTGAGCGGGCAAGTTGGTTGTGAGTTCAGTAAAAACCCTCTGATGATGCAAAAAAAAAAAAAAAAAGTATTAAGTTTCACAAGCTGTTTGTACTCAAATATATTTTCTCAGTTTCAGATCCTCAGCTATTTTATTGAGTGGAAAGTCTTGAACTGAAAGGGTTCAAGAAGAATAATGTTGCATTTCCTTATGTCTCAGGAAACACTTTTTATGGTAACTTGTCAGATTGTCTATGAACAAACCCACTTTTTTAGACATTGATAAAGTCTTCTTTTCTTCACGTGATATTTTATACAAGAACACTTCAGGTGTGTTATTAGATGTGACTGATTTTAACAAATCCTATTAGATTTGTATCAACTAGTTACCTGTTATATTCATAGTCTTTTGTGAATCATCGCCTTTTTGTTTAAAAGATGGCCTATTTTGAGCCTTTGTATAGGTACATTCCTGTTTTTGTGACAAAAAAACCTTTAAAACTGTCCCAAACAGAAAAATAATGGCTATCAGAAATATGTTTTGTTTTAGTGTGAGTTACCGTTACTGTATTTGTTTATTGTAAAGGTGGACATTTAGCGTTCAGTGCAGTTTTCAATAAAAAGTAATAAAAATTTCTGTTAAGCTCTGAAATTCAAGTACAACTCACCAGTGTAAAAGTTCTCTCCTTGAGATGTTTAAAGGCAACTGCATTTTCAATTAGCCAGTTTCCCAACTCTTGTTATTCCGAGGGTCAAAGATTTACAGTACTTTTCTGTCATCTACCTATTCCATAACCAGACGCAAGAATGTTGATAATTACTTCATGTGATAGTTTAATTGAAAAAATCAAAACTTCACATAAGTCCATCCTTATCAAATCATGCCATCCCTAAGATGAAATAGTGGGTTAGAACTAAGTCAATTCAAGAAACAAAACTGGTCAAGTTTTAGAATTTTGATTTTAATTTACCCAAAAGCAAAATTATCTGGCTCAAGCATTAATGCAGGAAGGGAGGTGAATCTCAAAAAAAAAAATTTTTAATGATATTTACAAAGAAATGTTGCAAATTAATTAACATCAGCCATTTCCATAGGTTAGGAACTTTCCATTGATTTTATGGGTCTTCCTTCTCAAATAGCATTAAACCCCTTACTACTAGCAGTATCTGCAAATGTCAGTCACGTCCAACAATTCCAGGTACCGAACTCCTTTTCAGCCGCCTCCCCCCACCCTTTCCCATTTAAAAAAAGAAGTCATGACAACTTAAAGCATCAACCTCCTCACTCATTTTAAGGTGGTGGTCCCATCCCAAGTCTCCCATGAAAAATTACACTGAAACCACCTGACACGGATAGAGAGATCCTGGACAGAGATACAGCAAATGGTTACTGACCTATCACTCCGGGGAGCAAAGTGGCAGCTCAAGATCATCTTCACGACCACTTGTCAAACAGGCAATCAGTGAGGGGGTGACGTATGCACAAAAAGGAGACCCCCAACCGACTATGCACAGCAATAGTCCCTTAACACAGACTAAGTCTGTGACACGATGAGCCTAAAAACCAAAAACATAAAAAGGTCCAAATCCATGGTGTGCTTGGGTTTTGACAGAAAACACCACACTGTATTCCCCCTAGAAAAAGAACCATAAAGTCCATACAGTTAAAGGTATTACTGTCTGGAGTCAACCAAAAGACATACAATATCTGTCACCCTGCCATATATAATCTGAGAAAGGACTGCAAACTCTATCTTGGGACAACAGTTATGGCTGTTTGATAGTTCAAGAGCTTAACATAGCATTGATTCACCAAAATGTTGGCCTTTACCAGCCAATCTGCTGTGAAAACCATTTAAAGCCCCATCCCTGTCTGGAGCCTAAGAAATGGAGTCATATATATATATATAATTCTTTCCCACAGGGAAGAATGCTGTACCTGTTAAACTAGATGTGGTCAGGGTCACTGATCTATAAATAAATAAATAAAGAGGCACCTCAGGGGACACACCACGCAGCAAACACAACACACGGAGGCTAAGGCTAAAGACCGAGCCTGCAGTTTTCTGAACAGCACTGACTGTAATGTAGACCGTAGCAACTAGATGCTTTTCCCTCAAACATTTCTCTTCGGATTCTTCAACTGGGAGAGCAGTTTTTGCTTAACAGCAACTAGAACAGGATGTCTGGCCACTAAAGAATTCTCTCCCTGTATATGGAGAAAAGTTTATAGGGATGCTGTGCTATGTAATTAGAATGGCAGCCTTCTAAAAAATTAATTCTGTCCAAAATGAAAGCAAACCGTAGAGTCAATTTGTAAGAAAACATTAACCATTTGAAACAGTAACATACACATTACATCAAAATTCATTCATATGGAATCAAATTGCAAATATTTTTCCTGCAAGTTGTAGCATGCAGCAAAAGAGATCATCCTGGGAACACGTTTCAAGGTGTTCAGAGAGGGAAGAAAGAACTAGAGAGATGACATCTCATAGGTAATTTTCTATTTTTAGTATTCCAGCATCAAATCTGAGGTTGTGCACATTTCAATAGCATCTAAACAGAACTTAGAAGAAAACAAGAAGTAAATATTTCAAGGTTTTCACAGCCTTTTCATCAAAGGGAAGGAAAAGTGTGAGTGAGTGAGTGTGAGTGTGTGTGTGTGTGTGTGTGTGTAGGGCTTCTTGCCAAATTCCTTGCCACATCAATAGTCTACAAAGTGCTTACCAGGACACTAAGTCTTTTTGTGTTCCTGAGATAGGTCTGAAATTTTTACCCAGTTTTGAATGTATACCTGAAGTGGTCAAATAATACTTTTTGTAGAAAGTTTTCCTACCTAAGATTATAGTCTTAACTTTAAATAAGAATGGCCACAATTAACCAACATGCAAAAATTCTCAGACTACTCACTGAGAAATTCATTATACAATGCACTTACCACCTTACTGCGTTCTTAAATCTTTATTCTATACTGAACTGATATTCCCAATTAGCCCAAGCAAAGGCATGCCTTTCTAATACAATTTGCTTAAAGCAGAGTTGATGATAAAAGACAGTTAAGAATCCACAGACTCTATGCATGGCAACCTGGGAGAGTATAACATTGTCAACAGAGTCAAGTGGGCGAATTTCACACAATTCATTCAGTTACATACGAGTGGGCCGGCTCCCCCGAGCACTCCCCCGCCAGCACTCCCCTCACTTACATCCACCGAATAACTATTCACAAAGAGACTGCTGCCCAGAGTCTGGTAGAAGAAGCCCCATCTTAAGGGTACTCTTCCAAACAAATAAATACCTAAACACTGAAAAGGGGCATTATCAGAAACTTTTAAAAAGACAAGATAATAGAAACCAAAACCCTTTCCAAAACAAGGGAACGATGTCTATGCAAAGTTCACTCAATAAAAAATCCTTACTTTTCTTACAGTTTGTTCCTTAAAGATTTTATTTTATTTTATTGGGCACAACAGGAACTAAATTATTAATAAAAATAAAAGCTTGTTTTTATGTTTTGCTGTGGGTAATTTGTACAAAAAGTTTCCAAATCTCTAACGAGCTCTAGTGAGATATAATGTAAAACGATCTTTTAAGATGCAAGTAGAATGCCAGGTTCTACTTAAAAAAGAATTATCTCAAAGGAACAAAGAGTGATCTGCCATGTGCTTTTGGAGGTGCCCATGCTGGAAAAAACTTCTCAATAATATGAAGATGCTGGTACAACTTTTCCTATTACACAACTTCTTACACAACCACATGCGTTACATTTATAGACAGATTTACAATTTGAAAGGAAAAAAGTTCTGTCTTAATAAAATTCATTTTTTACAAACTGTAGTCCAAAGTTCTGTCTCCTCACAGCAGATGCATCATCTCCACGGGGTGTGGATCAGAAAAACCCTTCCAAGCAGATCCTGCCAGATCTGCTTCATTCCATGCCGTGCACTCTGCCTGGAGCACCGCAGCAGCGTGGAGGTCACTATAGAGCTGGTACCTTGCTCTTCTGCTCTTTGATTATTTTCATTCATCTTCATCATCTTCGTCTTCCTCCCCATCAGACAGGGATGTACAAGGCCGGATCTGTCGGTAGCGGTCAAGCCATTTTTCTACCATTTGCGTGACCAGAGGGTGATTTCGCCGCCGGGAGCTCTTCTGCATGGCCACGAGAACTCCTCCCTCAGTCACACAGCAGTCCAGCCACTCCCTGAGCAGCTTTTCTTGCTGTTCCTCATTACCTAGCTTTTAGAGGAATGTGAAGAAGAGGGAAAATAACACAACAGATCACAGACTTGACAGGAAAAATTTAACAGAAACCTACAGCTGGTATGATTAATGAAAAAGGCCAGAGCAACGAAGTGTTTCAACATGGTTTCCACCTCTCATCAATTTTATGTTTAAAACCCAGTTTCCTGTGGTTAAATAGAAAAAAAATCTATGGGAAAATTCACAGAAAAACCTAGAGGGAAGAATAGCCTAGTAATAAGTTAATTTGTTTGATATAATAGCAAAAAGCAAATGTTATCTAATAAGCTGATCCTTGCAGCTTCAAACAGAACAAGGTAAGTTTACTCAGAAAGTTATGTATATAGGCTCAAGGAACAAAAATTATCTGAACTTTTTTCTTAATATCATGGTTATAAAAAGTTTATAATTATTACTAGTATATGAAATAAAAGACCAATAATTTTATAAGAATTTGGGCTGGAGCGCTCTTTTACACATTCTCGCCACCTCCCCTGCCTGGCGTGCACCACCTGCTCCCCCGCAGCTCCAGTGACCTCCCACCTGCTCCTGTTCCCACCACTGCCCAGGTATCGAGTCTCAACCGAGTTGCCAGTATTCCTCTTCTGGGCAAACTGGCTGTTGGCTCCCCAGCTTACCCAGAATAAAGCCAAAGATTTAAAAGACCGTTGATGACCCCATGCCACCCCTTAACCTCTCAGCCTCGTCTCTCCCCGCTTGCCCAATCCCCACAAACCACACTGGCTTGAACTTCCCTCTACCTACAACTCTCTTCCCCCAGATTCTGCAAGACTCCTTCCTCTTTCAGGTCTCAATTCAGGCATCACCTCCTCAGTGATGCCTTACCTTGGGCCCCCGGTGGCCCCCTCATCCCCCCCTTTCCCCCTCACCCCATCTTTTTATCTCCTCAGCACTCAGCACTACCTGAGGGCTAGGACTTTGGTCTTCACTGCTTTATCTCTGCAGAACACATCCTACACAGCAATTCTGAAAAGATAAATTTCAAAGTCTGTCTGACCAGGATTTATAGAAAGTGACAATTACTACGACCTAGTTCAAAATTGTAAGTGGTAGTACAGATAATACCACACCTGAAAGACACATTAGGCTGGGTTCTGGTACAGTGCTGCTACTTTAAGTAATTAATACAAGAAACAGGCTTCTTACCTCCTGAGCAGAAAGGAAGTGCACATGGAGTAACTTCCTTTCACTGTCAACCAGAGGCAGAAATGTAATGGTGACATCGTCATCGGTGTTCAGGTTAGCACCAGCACCTCGGTTACCATAGCCATCATTTTCCATGGCAACCAAAGCAGAGAAGTGGCCCCTTGTATAGCCCAGAGCAATCGGACTTTTCCAACAAAAACTCTGTTCCCACAACAAAGGCAAATACACACCTGGAAAGAGGGAAGAAAGTCACAATGAGATTTTCAGGATGTGACTGCAATGTGCATTAAAATAATAAACAAGAAAGCTCCAAAATACTCATGATAATGGCTTACCTTGAAACCGAGTATATCCCAAAGTTTCTCCCCGGAAGCTTTTATAATATTTTACTCCATAAACTATAATTGGTCGTCTAAGAATATGTGCAAGTACAAAAATGTGGGTCTGTTCCAAACTTGCTCCAGGCTGTACAGAACAAAATAAAAGAAAGCAAATTCTCTTTAAAACATTTATTACCACCCCGGAAGACTGATGTGTGTAACACAATGCTACCCTCCTCCATTATTACACTACCTCAATTCATTTAAAAAATATAGTAATACTACTGTCCAACTAAAGAGTTTGATTCCTCAAACAGCAAAGTCCAATAAAAGAAATCTGCAAAGTTTATGTACAGGTATCCTTCATTATCCAAACTCAAGAACTGAACAGATTTGTTTAAATACTGATTTCAGAAACAAGAGGTTCAGACAGCAAAGGAAGCTTGATTTCTATAACTGCCTTCTGGTTAAGTTACTTGTGAAAGTACTACCTACAACAAGGTCCACCCGAAGTAAAAAGAACTTCGTTATTTCACACAAACATAAATGGCTGCAAATGGCTGCATCACCTAAGGCAAGAATATGCAACAGGTCTCCCTTCCCCCCATAATGATTCTGACAGCACCTTTACAGGAGGTACATGTCTCAGATGTAAAACAGTCACTGTGAACCCTGCCCAAATGACCCAAAGACAGAAGGTACTTCCCTCAGAGGGTACTAATGAATTATGATGCTTTCTGCAAAGAAAAGAAGTGGTTTGTTGTGCATATATTTGAAGTTTATAGTTAAGTATATTAATATGCTTCATAAAATAAAACTAGCATGAGTGTGAGGGACAGCCCTACACAATACATCTATAAAAGTTCATTCCCAAGTTAGTTAATCATTCCTGTCCACGGCACCTTCTCCGTGGCCTGCGTCACGTGGACGGAGGCTCCTCACCTGGGGAGCCTTGTGAAGATCACAACTTGATCCTCAGGGGCCTGGCAGCTCAGCATCAGCACCACCACTAGCACAGAGATCTTGGGGAAGTGTCCCCTCGGACACAGAATGGGAGCTAACCCGTAGGTAGGTAAAACAGGCATAAAGCCACCACTTCTTAAAATTTTTAATTTATTATTTTTTTAAATTTTTATTGGAGTATAGTTGATTTACAATGTTGTGTTAGTTTCTGCTGTACAGCAATGAGAATTGTTATACATATACCTATATCCACTCTTTTTTAGATTCTTTTCCCATATAGGTCATTACAGAGTATTGAGTAGAGTTCCCTGTGCTACACAGTAGGTCCTTATTAGCTATCTATTTTATATATAATAGCGTGTATATGTCAATCCCAAAAAGTCACCTGAGAGGACAATATAACTGAAGAGTAATCTGAGGAAATATTTAAGAGGTTAGAATCACCAAGTACAACTTTTATTTGGACAGTTTTTTAATCACTTAATATAAGAAACATGTTGCCCTCCCTGTGCTGCAGCGAGGACTTGCCTATGGTCCCAGAGCTGATAAACAGCAGTCACTAGAACCCAAGTCACCTGCTGCCAAGTCAAGCGCTCTTCCCTTCATGCCACACTGCCTCCAACATGGTCTTAGTGTAAACCAAGGCATTTAGACCAGCTGCCTCACTTTTCTCATAGGAGCAACATGCCCTGAAGCATTCTTACCTGACTAGCAAGAGAGAGTATAAATGCCCAGTCTTCTTGCCACTGTTCTTCTCTCAAGGAAAAATGTAAACCAAAGCTCTGAGAATACCAGGACTCCCAATCTTTCCAACGTGTATAAAACCTAAAAGCAACAGAGTAAAACAGAAGCCTTTCTATAAACAGTTCATTTAATGTTCCGATCATTTATTTAATGTAGTCTTTAAGCAATTCAAATGCAGAGATTAATAATTAATTTTACCTGGCTTGCAGTATATTTTTCCAATTAAAAATGCCTCCTTTCTGCTAGCAGACATCTTTTAACATATCCTCAGACATAATCTGATTCACCACCCACCAAATTTTCATCAAAACTACGAACACTAGTGATGAGAACGGTTGATTTCAATTGTCTACTATTGGTTTACAAATAAAAACTAAAAACACTCAAAATCATCTGAGAGGTTGGATAAAAATCAAAGACACTACATTTCTCCATTAATGAATAGTTATCCACTACTTGGTCACAGACTAGAAATAGCCCATGTGTTTACAAGAATATCAAAATCACTTCCTTGAGATTTCATTCATTAAATAAAATTATTTGATTATCACATGACAATTGAAATAAAAAATCACTGTAACTACAAGAACAATCCCTTCTTCATGCTTAATACCTGTTTAAATACTTCGGCCTAATAAATTATGAAGACTAAAAATCAAACTAGGCCACTGGTAGACTGAATTACTAAAAGCAAAACATTCTTTTTCTTTAGATCAAGTATACAATTAAATAAAGCCGGATATAATTATGCTCAAAACTGTGATCCACTGTCTTACAAAACAAACCAGCAAAGACCTCTGAAGACATTTAACCTGTTTGTAACATTACATTCCTCTCACATGTAGTGAACTATCAGAAATCCCCAATACTTTTATGTATTTGAATTCTAGGTAAAAGAATCAAAAGATCAGAAAACATTCTTTTGCTGTTGTTGAAATGTTAAGGTATTAAATGTCTTAGTGTCACACGTTTCTTTAGAGTAACTTAATGCAGGGCTCCGTAAAAAGTAAATTAATATATTTTAGATTTAAAAAAGAATGTTACGGAGGCTTAACTCTTGTTTGATTAGAAAAAAAACTTTTCTATGCCAGAGAACCATAGGTTTTCTCTTTTTAAATCAGGAATGTAAGTTTCAATGCCAAATGTTTAAAAATAAAATATGGATATTCCTCTTTTAAAATACCTAAGATACACAGAAATATATTTCAATGCACCAATGACAAAATACATTGTTTTAATAAATTCGAGGAAAAATATCATGAAACACAGAAAGTTGCTGCAGTTAAGAAATTTCTTGGTTGCTGCCTAGGATCGTTTTATTGAATGAGACACCTAAATGTGCCAGAAATCAAATGATGACTTCACTCAAAACTCAAGAAGACTGCAGAAAAAGGCTGTTCAAAATATATTTTAAAAATAAGCATGTTCAAATAATCACACCCACCACACAAAGACCTAAACACTCAAGCTACCTGGCTCACTGAGAACAGACAAGCAAACCAAATCCAGGAATACGAGGCCAAGCGGGACAGCAAGTTTGGCTTTAACACTGAGAAGTCACTTTGGGGCTTCCCTGGTGGTGCAGTGATTAAGAATCTGCCTGCCAATGCAGGAGACACGGGTTTGAGCCCTGATCCAGGAAGATCCCACATGCCACAGAGCAACTAAGCCCGTGCACCATAACTACTGAGCCTGTGCTCTAGAGCCCGCGTGCCACAACTAATGAAGCCCGTAGCCCCCGCTCGCCACAACTAGAGAATGTCCACGAGCAGCAACGAAGAACCAATGCAGCCAAAAATAAATAAATTTATTTTTAAAAAAATCAATTCCACATTCATGGATGAATTCCACATTCAGTGCAATCTCTATCAAAATCTCAGAGGACTTTTCTGCAGAAGCTAGAACCTAAAATTTATCTAGAAATCCAAAGAATTCAGAATAGCAAAAAGAATCTTGAAAGAAGTAGTACAAAGTTGGAAGACTTATACTCCAGATTTCAAAACCTACCACAAAGCTACAATCATCAAGAAAGTCTAATGTCAGCATAAGGACAGACATACATATCAACAGGAAAAAATTGAGAGTCCAGAAATAAACTTTTACTTTTAAGGTAAAATACTTTTTGACAGAAGTACCAAGGCATTTGAATGGGAAAAAAAAAATAAACAGTACTGGGACAACTGGATATCCATGCAAAACAGATGATTTTAGATCTTTACCTCACACCTTCAATAAAAATTAGCTCAAAATGGGTCACAGACTTTAAATGTAAAAGCTAAAACTATGGAATTCCTAGGTGAAAACACAGGAATAAAACTTTAAAATTTTAAATTTAAAAACTGTAAACAACTATAATAAGTATGCTAAGGGATCTAATGGAAAAAGAGAGCATGCAAGAACAGATGGGCAATGTAAGAAGAGAGATGGAAATCCTAAGAAAGAGCCAAAATGAAATGCTAGAGATCAAAAACACCAACAGAAATGAAGAACATTTTTGATAGGCTTATAGTGGACTGGATACAGCTAAGCAAAGAACCTCATGAAGATACATCAATACAAACCTCCAAATCTAAAAAGCAAATATAACACACATAGAAAAAAAAAGTGAATTTCAAATAACCATGGGACAACTACAAAAGGTATAACATACAAATGTCAATAATAGAGGGAGAAAAAAGAAAGTAACGGAAGAAATATTTGAAACAATGACTGAGAATCTCACCAAATTAATGTCAGACACCATACCACAGATCCAGGAAGCTCAGAGAACACCAAGAAGGAAAAATGCCAGAAAAACTACACCTAGGCATATCATATTCAAACAACAGAAAATTAAAGAAAAAGGTCCTGAAAGAAGACAGAATATAAAAAACACCTACCTGGGACTTCCCTGGTGGAGCAGTGGTTAAGAATCTTCCTGGCAATGCAGGGAACACAGGTTCAAGCCCTGATCCAGGAAGATCCCACATGCCACAGAGCAACTAAGCCTGTGCTCCACAACTACTGAGCCTAAGCTCTAGAGCCCATGAGTCAGAACCACTGAGCCCGTGTGCTACAACTACTGAAGCCCGTGTGCCTAGAGTTCGTGCCCCACAAAAGAAAAGCCACTGCAATGAGAAACCTGCACAATGCAATGAAGAGTAGCTCCCGCTCGCCACAACTAGAGAAAGCCCACGCACAGCAACGCAGCCAAAAGTAAATAAATAAATAAATTTATTTTTAAAAACCCAAAAAACACCTGCCTATGCAGAAACAAAAGATAAGAATTATATCCGACTTCTCAGAAACCATGCAAGCAAGAAGAGAATGAAGTGAAATAGTTTAAAAGTTGAGACAAAAAAAACACCAACCTAGAATTCTATATCCTGTGAAATGATCCTTCAAAAGTAAAAAAGAAATAAAGTCTTTCTCAAACAAACAAAAATGGAGGGAATTTGTTGCCAGAGACCCGGTTCACAAGAAATGTTAAAAGAAGTTCTTTAGAAAGAAGGAAAATAACATAGATCAAAAATTTTGATCTACATAAAAAAAGGAAGAGCATTAAGAAATAAATTGAAGATAAAATTAAAACTTTTATTTTTTATTCTTAATTGATCTAACAGATAATAGTTTATTCAAAATAATATTTGATTATGCATACTTATGTATATATATATAGTGTGTGTGTATGAACGTGCGAGCGTGTGTGCAGGTATGCGCTTATGTATGCTTACATATAAGTGAAATGAATGACAATAAAGATACAAGGGACAGAAAGGAGGAATTAGGATTATTTTGTTATTATGAGGTAATGACACAACCCATGAAGTGGTACAGTTTTATTTGAAAGCGGACTTGGATTATTTGTAAAAATATACTGCAAACTCTAGGGCAACCACTAATAAAAGTTAAAAAAATAAGTATAACTGATATGCTAAGAAAGTAGAGAAAATAGAATCATAAAATGCTCAACAAAAAACATGAAAGACAGGGGCTTCCCTGGTGGCGCAGTGGTTGAAAGTCCGCCTGCCGATGCAGGGGACACGGGTTCGTGCCCCGGGTCCGGGAGGATCCCACATGCCGCATAGCGGCTGGGCCCGTGAGCCATGGCCGCTGAGTCTGTGCTCCGCAACAGGACAGGCCACAACAGTGAGAAGCCCAAGTACCGCAAAAAAAAAAAAAAAAAAAACGAAAGAAAAAGAGTGAAAGACAAAAACAGGAACAAAGAACAGGGCAACAAATAGAAAACAGTTACAAACATGGAAGTTATGAATCCAACTATATCAATAATCACTTTGAATGTCAATGATCTAAATGTAACAATGCTGACAACATCAAATGCTGGCAAGGATATGGAGCAACAGGAATTCTCATTCATTGCTGGTGGGAATGCATAACAGTACTGCTACCTTGGAAGATTGATTGGCAGTTTCTCACAAAACTAAACACATACTCTTATTAGATAATCCAGCTATTATGAACTTTGGTGTTTACCCAAAGGAACTGAAAATCTATGAACACACAAAACCCTGCATATGGAAGTTCACAGCAGCTTTATTCATAACTGCCAAAACTTGCAAGCAAAGTGTCCTTCAGAATGGATAAAATTCATCCAGACAATGAAGTACTTTTCAGCATTACAAAGAAATGAGCTATGTAAGCCATGAAAAAACAGAGGAACCCTAAATGCACATTACGAAGTGAAAGCAGCTGATCTGAAATGGCTACATATTATATGACTCCAACCACATGACAGTGTGGAAAAGGCAAAAACAACAGAGACAGTAAAAAGACCAGTGGCTGCCAGAGTTAGGCAGGAGGAAAGGATGCAGTGGCAGAGCACAGAGGATTTGGGGGCATTGAAAATACTCTCTCTGATACTATAATTGTAATCCTCTGTTCAATACTATCTATATAATGGTGGACACATGTCATTACACATTTGTCCAAAATCACAGAATGTATACTAAGATGAACCCTAATGTGAGCTATGGACTTTCGGTGATAAGAATATTTGACGTCAGTGTCGGTTCATCACTTGTCACAAACATACCACTCTGTGGGGGATGTTCGTAATGGGCAGTTATGCGTGGGGGGACATGGCAAACAACGGTGACTTCCTTTCCATTGTGCTGTGAACTAAAACTGCTCTCAACCAATTAAGGTCTAAAAATGTATATAGAGAGGCACAACAATTAAGTTATCCAAAGCTGATACTTCTAAAAGAACTGATTTTTCACTGATTTTTCCCCCTATTTATATTAATTACTCCCATTTGGCTCTCTATTTGGATTGACATGTCAATCAAAGGCAAGTACAATATTCCATCTTGAGCACTTGAGCCGGATCAAATCATAGGCACCCAACAGAAAAGCACGGCTACCACCACAAAAAAAATGTCCTATCTTTAAGTGATAGGAGGAAGGGTTTAAATAAAAGAAAATTACTTTCTCAGTTCTCATTTAGATATTTTATGACTTAAAAAAAGTCTCATCCCACTTGATTTGGATTATGAGCAAAGGAAACCCTAGCAGAAAGCTGATTTAAAAGGAGACTGCACAAGTGATATACTGGCTGCTCCTCTCCTGACCTAGGACAGGGCCCTCTCATTCTACCTTCTAATAGTCATATAAGAGCCCAGTCAACAAACTTGTCACAACTCAAAATAGTCAACAATTTAATCGTTATTCAGTAAGGCTAATATATTTGACCCACATCACTGATGCCTTGAATCTACGGCAACAATGCTTCCTCTCTCCTCATTTGATAATCTTCATCCCCTCTCCACCCCAAGATAGTGAAAAGGATGTCTATGTGATCACTACAATCCTTGCAGCTTCCTATGCCTTAACTGTAAAACACCAGGTGAAGACCCTGTATGGCAGGGACTGGAGGAGGTGGCACCAAGGCACTCTTTACTGTGGAAAGCCTGTTCATACGCCAGCGAAGCATCCTTTTAGAACCAAGGCCTCCACTACCAAACGACCTGCCACAACAGCACTTACCAGTGGCTGCACTCATACAACCTAGGTCCTTCTCACTCTCAATAGCCATCTAGCCCATTTTCCACCTCAGATTATGGCAATCTTTTTCTCTTTCCCCCTACTTTCACATTAGACTTTTGAGACTTCAAATGACTCAAAAGTAGAATTTCAGTCCTAATACAAATATAAGTGACAACTCCAATCCAGAAGATTACCCACTGCCAGCTTTGAGAAACGGGTAGCATAAAGTTCCCAAACTATTAATAGCCACCAATGTCTTTTTCTTTTTAAAGCCCTCACAGCTAGGAAAAGTAGATATCACCTGCTGAAATTTACAGTACACTTTCAACCTTACAACAGGGTCAGAATATTACTGTCAGAGGAAAGGCTAGAGCTGCCTTTTAAAAAGGACTTGTAAAATGGTAGACTTACCAAGGTCCAGATCTAGTTTCCAGGCTGAGCAGCTAGACCTCATCCACACCCAGAGGACAGATCTATCTTTCCAAGGGCAGAGTCACATTAACTAAACCTACAAGGCAAACCTGTAAAACCACAATATCCAAAACGACTCATCCCCTCGGTGAGGGCAGGCCCACACAAACAGCCAACTCATCATTAGGGTGTTGTTTGATGAGCACGTAATCCAATCTAGAGGTCAGACAGACTGAACATTTAATGACATCAGGCTCACCAGGCCTGATGAATCCGCATCACAAAAGGAATGGTATTGCCCACACTACCAGATCAATCCAGAGCAATCACCCTCCACTAAAAGGCACAAAGTCCTGTCCCCTGGACAAGGGCTGAATGTCTAAACCATCAGTTCTGAATGACACATTCTTTCTTTAGCTATCCAATCAGGTTACCATCTGAATTTACAGTTCAAGACTAGTCATATACTTGATTGACTCTTGGATGTTTTTTAAAAAAAGGATACTTTTGAGACAAGCTGAAAGTGTGATTTGGACTGTATGCTAGATAACTGAGTCAATGTTGATTTTCTTAGATGTGGTAATGAGGATGTGGTTGGGTAGGAGAATACCCTTGTTCTTAAAAGATGCATGCTGAAATACTGAAGGGTAAAGCACCAGGATGCCTACAACTAACTGGCAAAGGGGAGTGTTTAGGGACACAGAGATGGAGCACCTGTGGCAAAATGTTAACAATTAACAACTGGCCAATCCAATGAAGGAGATGTTGGGATCCCTTGCACTGATTTTTTTTTTTTAACTTTTCTGTGGATTTGAAAATTTGCAAAATAAAACATGGTCTTAAGACTACCTGTCTCAGGAAGAAAAACTCGTAATACACAATCAATATAATCTCTTAAAGTTGAACAGAAATACGAAATCAAAGCTACTTTAAAATATGAGCACCGGAGCTGACCAAGACACGAAATACAGCGTACGTGTAGTTTAAAATTTTCCACTAGCCACACTAAAAATAAATAAACAGGTGAAACCAGAAAACTAAAAGATGAGCAAAGACCTTTCTATATTTAAGACACTCCTACAGCTTCCAATGTTTCTATTTTAAAGCTTAGCAAAAAGATATAAAAACCACTGAGATGTTCAAAGTGTCTCAGTGCCGAAAACCAAAGGTTTTTCCCCCTAGCTTCCACAGAAAAGATAACAGACAAAAAGTATCCCACCACTGTAAGGAAATGATTCAGCCAGTGCACTCCTGGATTCAAAAAGGAAAGGATGTCAGCTCACCAATGTGAACAGTCATGTAGGCTGTCATGCAGGGCTTTCCGAAGCACCGAGTCCTTGTCATAAATGCCCCAGGTAGCTTGTAGTACTGAATCAAGTAAGCAGTCTCCTGCAGTCCGGTTCCAAAGTGCATACAGTCGACTGTCCAAACGTGTAGCCAATTCCAAGGACCAGTTTATAATTGGAGATTCTTCTTCTAACTCTATATGAAGAATTTAAATAACATGTTCATATAAAACATTAATAAAGGAAATTGAAGATGATTCAAAGAAATGGGAAGATATCCCATGCTCTTGGATTGGAAAGAATTAATATTGTTAAAATGGCCACACTACCCAAAGCAATCTACAGATTTAACACAATCCCTATCAAATTACCCATGACATTTTTCACAGAACTAAAACAAATAATCCTAAAATTTACATGGAACCATAAAAGACCCAGGATTGCCAAAGCAATCCTGAGGAAAAAGAATAAAGCAGGAGGTCTAACCTTCCCAAACTTCAGACAATTACTACACTAATCAAAACAGCATGGTATTGGCACAAAAACAGACATATGGATCAATGGAACAGACAGAAAGTCCAGAAATAAACCCACACACCTATGGGCAATTAATCTTCAACAAAGGAGGCAAGAACATACAACGGGAAAAAGACAGTCTCTTCAGCAAGTAGTGTTGGGAAAGTTGGACAGATGCATGTAATAAAGTTAGAACACACTCTCACACCACACAAAAATAAACTCAAAATGACTTAAAAGACTCAAATACAAGACATCACACCATAAAACTTCTAGAAAACGACACAGGCAAAACATTCTCTGATATAAATCGTACCATTTTTTTCCTTAGGTCAGTCTCCCAAAGCAATAGAAATAAAAACAAAAATAAACAAATGGGACCTAATCAAATTTACAAGCTTTTACACAGCAAAGGAAACCATAAACAAAACAAAAAAACAACCTATGGGAGAAAATATTTGCAAATGATTTGACTGACAAGGGCTTAATTTCCAAAATATACAAACAGCTCATACAACTCAACAACAGAAAAACAAACAACCCAATTGAAAAATGGGCAGAAGACCTAAACAGACATTTCACCAAAGACATACACATGGCCAACAGGCACATGAAAAGGTGCTCAACATCACTAATTACTGGAGAAATGCAAATCAAAACTAGAATGAGATACCACCTCACACTGGTCAGAGTGGCCATTATTAAAAAGTCTACAAATAACAAATGCTGGAGAGGGTGTGGAGAAAAGGGAACCCTGCTATACTGTTGGTGGAAATGTAAGCTGGTACAGCCATTATGGAGAACAGTATGGAGATTCCTCAAAAAACTAAAAATAGAGTTGCCATATGATCCAGCAATCCCACCCCTGGACACATATCCGGACAAAACTATAATTCAAAAAGATAAATGCTCCCCTATGTTCAAAGCAGCACTACTCACAACAGCCAAGACATGGAAACAACCTAAATGTCCATCAACAGATGAATGGATAAAAAGATGTGGTACAATGGAATACAACTCAGCCATAAAAAAGAATGAAATAATGTCATTTGCAGCAACATGGATGGGCCTAGAGATTATCATACTAAGTGAAGTCAGTCAGAAAGAGAAATACAAATACCATATGATACCACTTATACGTGGAATCTAAAATACGACACAAATGAACTTATCTACAAAACAGAAACAGACTCACAGACACAGAGAACAGACTTGTGGTTGCTAATGGGGAAGGGGGGGTGGGAGTTTGGGGTAAGCAGATGCAAACTAGTATATACAGGATGGATAGATAACAAGGTCCTACTGTATAGCACAGGGAACTATATTCAATATCCTGTGATAAACCATAATGGAAAAGAACATAAAAAAGAATGTATGTATAACTGAATCACTTTGTTGTACAGCAGAAATTAACACAATATTGTAAATCAACTATACTTCAATATAAATAAGTAAATAAATAAAATGTTCATTTTCATGCTTCTGCAATTAAGAAATATTCAGTGGAAGAACCTATTCTCTAGAAGTTAATAGATTTAGTATGTAATTTACTAATAAATTTATTTACTAATAAATTCTGATCAATTGAAATATAAACCTTTGAGTAGTTGAAACACCTTAAGGCTCTAGAATAATCACCTTAAGGCTCTAGAATAATTTACTCCATTTTTAAATTCTTCATGATTTATTTTCTAAAAATTTTTAATATGAAAATATACTCATTCTAGAATAGGAAACAGATAACCAAGGTTTAAAAATGTTTATACCTTTATTCACTCTACCACAGTTAAGAGCTATGAATGAGCACTTCTAACAGCACAATACAACACTGTTCTTAAGGACTTTACATTTTCAATTTAAAGTAGAAATAAACTATGTTGACCATACACCAAACTATTCCAAACCTGACAAAGCAAAAAGTTTATTGAAATCAATAAAAGATAAATTATACTCATTAATTCCATGCTTACCTTTTTGAACATCTCTATCAAGCACCTCATCAAATAATTTTTCTTGGACTGTTGGAGGCAAGTCTTCAATATCTACAAAGAAAAACCAGATTTAAAAAATCTTTATATGTCTCATAACTGAAAAAATTCGATGCCAGCATCTAACAGTAACCTCCTCTAAAATAACTGCCTTTCCACCGAAGGCTGTCGAATAGCTTCTTTTAAAAAACATGCATGTATCTCGTGTGTGTGTGTATGAGGTGTAAAATATTTCCTTTCTGTACTTCATTATCAAAACTGTGATCTATCTACAAACAATAAAAAGAAAATCATTTGGACCACTAATTATATACAGCTATTATCAAAACAACAAGAGATAACAAATGTTGACGAGAATGTGGAGAAAAGGGAACCCTTGTGCGCCAGTGGTGGGAATGTAAACTGGTGCAGTCACTATGGAAAACAGTATGAAGTATCCTCAAAAACTATCATATGATCCGGCAATCTCACTTCTGGGTACACAGCCAAAGGATATGACAACAGGGTATCGAAAAGGTATTTGTACCCATGTTGGTTGCAGCATTACTCGCAATAGCCAATATATGAAAACAACCTAAGTGTCTATCAATGGGTGAATAAATAAAGTAGATGTGATATATCTATACAAAGCAGTATTATTAAGCCATGAGAAAGAAGAAAATCATGCCATTTGCAACATACAGAAGGACCTTGGAGACATTATGCTAAGTGAAATAAGCTCAACAGAGAAAGACCAATATTGTATGGTATTACTTACATATGGGATCTTAAAAAAAAAAGTCAAACTCATAGAAACAGAGAGTAGAAAAGCAGCTGCCAGGGGCAAGGCAGGAAGGGATTAGGGAGAAATTGCTAAGAGTACAAACGATAAACCATAAAATGAAGACAGCTAGGATTAAATGCAAAACATAGTAACAATAGTCAGTAAGGCTGTACTGTACAATTGAAATTCACTAAGACAGCAAAACTTAATGTTCTCACCCAAAATATAAATAAATAGATAGATAAATAAATGTGAGGTGATGAATGTGTTAATTAACTAGATGGGGGGAATCTAGTTAATTAACAGTTAACTTTCACAATGTATAAATCAAATCACCACAAAGTACACTTTAAATATTTTACAATTTTCTATGTCAATGATAATTTAATAAAGTTGAAATAAAAGAAAAAAGAACAGAGCTATCTAATATTCGAGTTAAAATAACAACAACAACAAACAAATTTTTGTCTGTTCTCTTTCCCCCACACTCTCAACCTCTGCTCAGGACTGTGATTTTCAGACTTCAGAATCTCCTTATACAAGTTACTGAGCCATTCACTTTCGCACGCAGATTTCTGTTTTCCTCACCTTCTCAAATTCTCTATGCTCTCTGTTCAGTTTACTAATTGAGTAGTCTAGAGTAAGAAGCATTACCCTTACAAAAATGTTTTAACCTTAGAACTATTTTCAACTTAAAATCTAATCATCACTTGAAGTACTAAGTTTAAATATACAGAGTGCATTTCAAATGAAATTTATCTGATTTTTAAAAGCTTAGTTGTTGTTTTCTACCATTTTGTAAATACCTCTGTTCATATCTCAATATAAAAAAAGCTCAAAACACTCAAAACCAAAATATAAGTTTTATTTAGAACCTTTTGGTGTTTACTGCATTTATTCAATGCCAACTGACAAAAAACAGCCTGGAAGACATTTCCACTTGTCATGGAACTGAAAAATAAAAAGTTGCTTCACAAATATAGTAGAAATTAACGTAGTAAGTGAAGAAAGTAATGACACTTTCAAAAGAATGCCAGTATCTTTGACTCAAATAACTTGACTCTACCCATCAAAAACCCATGTTCTGATCTTATCTCCTAATATCAGGTAACCAATAGTTATCTATGAAAAGAAAAAGAAAAAAAGCAGACTGATAATATTCTAAAATAAAAACAAAGAGAAAAATAAATGGATAAAACAGACTTTTTAAAATATCTGAGGCCCACAAAGAAGTCACTTATTATCAGCTACTGTCTTCCTACCAGCTCTAAGGCATTAGTTTATAAATGGCCCTTGTACTGGTCACTTCCAGTAAAACAGGGTAATCAAGTAATTTAAGATCCACATATAGTAGCTAAGTTATCTGTTTTCTAACAGAAACGTTTTCATTCAGACATTAAAAAATTATAATAAAGTTTAAATTTATTTTCACACAGAGATTTGGAGTTACCTGCTGGCAACGTAAATGTTACAAGGTCAGTTAGGAAATAGCAAGCAAAATCCCCCTTTCTCTGATGAAGAGAGGCAGCTATCTCACGCCGGATCTGCTCTGTCAGTTCAGGACACACCATTGCTGGAATACACTTTGCGGCTTGTTGAGACACCTTAAATACAAAAGAAACTTTCCTCTACATCTCATTTATCATCAGTGGAAGCAGAAAACAATAGTGTATAAAAGAAATTACCAAAAATTCCCAGTAACTCAAGGTGTTTTTGTTTTTGTTTTAAATATATGAGGTACTGGGTGTTATTTCCTCAATAGTGTAAGTATATATCAGTACAACTTCCCTGGAAAACAGTGATAAAAATGTTTTACCCTCTCAACTCAGCAGTTCTACTTTCTAGTGGAGTTTATCCCAAGGAAATACACAAAGATGCATATAAAAATTTATGTAAAATGGAGTTGTTCGCAAACGTTCATCATAGGAGGGGGAGGGAGGACAAAAAACAAAGTAAGAATAACCATCATGCCCCTAATAAAAACATTCTTATTAAAAAACAGGGAATTCTAGCTCACAGAGAAAGAGGAAAGTACAAACACTCTTCTGCTCTGTTAAGAATATTTCAAGTACTTTGACTTAGAGTAAAGAAAAGCAGGTTTTTTTAAATAAATTTATTTATTTTTAGTTATTTTTGGCTGTGTTGGGTCTTCATTGCTATGCACGGGCTTTCTCTAGTTGCGGTGAACGGGAGCTACTCTTCATTGCAGTGCGCGGGCTTCTCATTGCGGTGGCTTCTCTTGTTGCGGAGCACGGGCTCTAGGCACGCGGTCTTTAGTAGCGCAGGATCTAGAGCACAGGTTCAGCAGTTGTGGCGCACGGGCTTAGTTGCTCCACGGCATGTGGGATCTCCCTGGACCAGGGATCAAATCCATGTCCCCTGCACTGGCAGGCGGATTCCCAACCTTTAAAGGGTTAGTTCCCAATGACTTCAAATCCCTCCCCACTTGTTACAATTCTGATTTTTTTTTTTTTTTTTCTGTTTTTTGGCCGCACCACACAGCATGCGGGATCTTAGTTCCCTGACCAGGGATCAAACCCGCAACCCCTGCTGTGGAAGCACGGCATCTTAACCACTGGACCGCCAGGGAAGTCCCTATAATTCTTAATTTTTTAAAAAAGCATCTGGCTTCTCCGGGTGTAAAACAGACAACCAATCTCTGCAGTAGGACAATTCGACGGGAATGAAATCTGAGCACCGGTGTAGAGAGCACTACCACAGAGAACCTCTAAACAAGGAGGCGGCCAGAACTTTCCTGTCCCTTTTAAATGATGAATAACAACAAACGATGAAAAGACATTATCTTACATTTAACTTGTACTCCTTTTGTGGAGCTCAAGAAATCTATATACAGAGAATTCTGAAATCCAAGGTCAGTATCTGCTAAAGAGGAAATGAGTCTGGTGTGACCCTGAGCGAGCCAGTTAGCTCTGTCCTCTGCTGTCACTACAGACGCAGCCACTAACCTGGACGACCTTCCTGAATGCAGACTTCCAGTCACAAGTGGAGCTTGGAGCAGCAGATCTTCCAACAAGCCACACAAAGAATAAGTTTTACTGATAATGTCATCTACATAACACACGTGGACAGCTTAATTGTAATTACTATTAAGGTAAGTAAACAGTATTTCAAAAACCCTGCATACCCAACGCAACCATTAGACATCCTATTCTGAAAACTACACAAAAATTCAATTCTCCTAAACTTTACTAGCCAGGATTACCAGTAACAATGAAATTGTCACCACATCTTATCTCCATAAGCCCAATCTAAGCAACACTAAAACTGTGGAAAACCAAATATTAAATATTTTCAGAATATAACGGACTATTTCTCAAGTCAAAGCATTAAAATGCATCTCAAAAGTAAATTCAAAAATAGCTTATCTCAATGTGCTAACCCCCCACCCCTTTCCAAAATCCTGGGAAGATTTTTTTCAAAAACTACTTGGACTGAAACCTGAATATTGCAAACACCCCAAGAGAAACCTTACAGCTGGTGATTGGCCTCTAAGCTTCCTTCTCCCGCCACCATCCTTAAGCATATGTCCCTGAGGCCTGCCTCTCATCTTCTAGCCCAGGGGTCCCCAACCCCCGGGCCATGGACCGGTACCGGTCTGCGGCCTGTTAGGAACCGGGCCGCACAGCAGGAGGTGAGCAGCGAGCGAGCCATGCTTCACCTGTCGCCCCCATCGCTCTCATTACCGCCTGAACCATCCCCCACTCCCGCCTCCCCTCCCCACCGTCTGTGGAAAAACTGTCTTCAACGAAACCGGTTCCTGGTGCCAAAAAGGTTGGGGACCGCTGTTCTAGCCTCTTTAACCTGAGTCTCAACCATCTCCTTAAGCTACTGGTTAACCTAGGGTCCATGAACTTGGGAAGGGACCATGAATTAGAATAGGAATTTCAATCAAATTTAAATCCTTCATTTTCACTAACCTCTTGCCTACATTTAAAATGCATTTTCTTTTCTTTTTTTTTTTTTTTTTTTTTTGCTGTATGCGGGCCTCTCACTGTTGTGGCCTCTCCCATTGACCCGGACGCACAGGCTCAGCGGCCATGGCTCACGGGCCTAGCCGCTCCGCGGCATGTGGGATCTTCCTGGACCGGGGCACGAACCCGTGTTCCCTGCATCGGCAGGCACACTCTCAACCACTGCGCCACCAGGGAAGCCCTAAAATTCATTTTCTTTACATCACATATATTTAATATTCTGATAACTATTTCAATATAACTGATTTCCTTTGTAACCCTATTTTTTATTTTATACATTTAAAAACAGTATTTTGAGAAGTCCATAGGTTCCACCAGACTACAAACAGTATCCATTATCTAAAATCCAATTAAACCCCCGGCCCAGACACATATTCCCAAAATATAATGTTCTCCTGTTCCCATCCCAAAAGTACTTGGCTATGTGCCCTGTCTGCAGACACATCCCTTAGTCCAGACTCATACTCTCCCCCTTCCAGTCTCCCTACTGGCCCCTTCAGTTCTGTCCTGTAGAGTGCCTACTCCATTGAGACTAAATTCCATCACTGACTTTGTTCTTCCCCTAGAACAAGCCTCCTTTCCACCTCCCCCATCTTGTACCAGGGTGGTCTCTGTGTACCACAGAATATAGCAAAAATTATAGTATATCACTTCCTACATTAGGTTATATAGAAAAGACACTACAGTTTCTACCTGAATCATTCTCTCATGCTCTCTCCCTCTCTTGGATCACTTGCTCTAGGTGAAACCAGCTACCACATCACAAGCAGCCCTACTGAGGGGCCCACGTAACAAGGATTTGAACCCTCCTGCCAACAACCAGGTGAGTGTACTTGGAACCAGATCCTCTAGTCCCCGTCGAGCCCCTGGCAGTTTGTAACCTCATGAGACCCTGAGCCAAAATCATTCAGCTAAGCTGCTCCTGGACTCCTTACTCTCAGAAACTGTGATAACAAGTGTTTGCTGTCTTCAGCTGCTAAGTTTTGCGGGGATTTGTTACATAGCAGTAAATAATAAACACACTGGGGTTCTACCGTCTTCCTGCTGTTAGTCCCCAGAATGCTCTTAGGAGGCCGGCGACTTACACCAGTCCCTCCAGAACCTTCTCATAGTCCTCTACCAGCCTGAGAGAAACCTATGTATCCCCTAAAGACGTGAGCCTTGGTTCACAGCTGCCTTCTCTCTCCTGTCTCCAGCCACCACCAGCAACTATAACTCCACATGCCAGCCCTTCCAGTACACAACTGGGCATCACAACACAAATGTAGCCAGACCTCAGATACAACAGGAACTACTTCTTACTGTTCCATCCCATGTTCCAGAACTCTGGTCTCTCTAATCACACAGCTGCTTTTCAAACAGTCCCCTTCTCCCTTATCCTCAATAAGCCTGCCCTTTGTTTTCAGCATGGCTGTCTCTCAAGCCCTCCTTTGCTCTATCAGGTGCCCCTGGTTACACTGGACTCTTACCAAACTAAACTCATGGCTAGCCATCTCAATCATGCTTTCATCTAACGTTCATAATTATTAATCCCCTCACCCCATGCTTTGTACATAAATGTTCCCAGATATTGGCGAACTTAAATGTGCAAGTAAGCATACACAGGAGTATACTGACCAAATTGGATTTGAATCCACAACTGATCTAACTCTCTGCACTTTTACCCTATTTCTCTTATCATTAAAAAAAAAATTACCTGGAGACTTCCCTGGTGGTCCAATGGGTGAGACTCCACACTCCCAAGGCAGGGGGCCTGGGTTTGATCCCTGGTCAGGAAACTATATCCCACATGCATGCTGCAACTAATAGTCCGCGTGCCACAACTAAGAGTCTGCATGCCACAACTAAAAAGTCCACATGCTGCAACTAAGATCCCGCATGCCGCAAATAAGATGTGGAGCCGCATAAATAAATAAATGAATAAATAAATATATATTTTTTAAATTACCTGGATAATACAGTCACATCCTAATTCATTTGCAACCTCTGTCATTTGTAACATGTACCTAGTTATCTAATCCAGAAACCCCAGAATCAACTCTGACCCCTAACTCACCATTACTCCCCATGGCCAATCTATCCACTTAGTTCTGCCTACATCACCAGCATCTCTCTCAAACCAGCCCATTTCTTTCCTTTGCTGTTGCCACTACTGTCCCAGCAGAGTTCCTGCCAGCATCACTGCAATGTCCTGCTAACCAGGCTTGCCCCTCTCTAAAGTGAGCAGCCGGGCTTCCCTGGTGGCGCAGTGGTTGAGAGTCCGCCTGCCGATGCAGGGGACACGGGTTCGTGCCCCGGTCTGGGAAGATCCCACATGCTGCGGAGCAGCTGGGTCCATGAGCTATGGCCACTGAGCCTGCGCGTCCGGAGCCTGTGCTCCGCAACGGGAGAGGCCACAACAGTGAGAGGCCCGCATACCGCAAAAAATAAAATAAAAAATAAAAAAAAATAAAGTGAGCAGCCAAAACACAGTCTGATCTTGTCACTCCCCTGCCACTCTACCTAACCCTTTTTAAAGCCTTATTCTGCCCTCAGAATAATTTTCAAATTCTTTGGCCTAGAAGATCCTTCACACTGCATCCCCTACTTGCCTCTCTCACTTCCCCTTCGCCATCACAACCCTGCTGAGCTACCTGCAAGTTCCAAATTCGCCACAAATACCACCACCCTTGCCTCTGAATAAAATGTTTCCTCAACTCCCTTCTCTCCACCTACTGTTTGAGGCTAATTCCTCCTACTCCTTCCTTCATTTTACTCTCAGCTAAAATGTTATCTGCTACAGGTAAGAAGGTAAGATACCTCAAAACACTTTCTCAAGCACTCTCCACAGCACCTGGCATTTACATCTCTGAAACTGCACTCTGGGGATTTCCCTGGTGGTGCAGTGGTTAAGAATCTGCCTTCCAATCCAGGGGACACGGGTTCAAGCCCTGGTCCAGGAAGATCCTACATGCCGCAGAGCAACTAAGCCCAGGCGCCACAACTACTGAGCCTACGCTCTAGAGCCCGTGAGCCACAGCTACTGAGCCTGTGTGCCACAACTACTGAAGCCCGCATGCCTAGAGTCCGTGCTCCGCAACAAGAGAAGCCACCGCAACGAGAAGCCCGCACACCACAACGAAGAGTAGTCCCCGCTCACCACAACTAGAGAAAGCCCGCTCACAGCAACGAAGACCCGAGGGAGAGAGGGAGAGGGGGAGAGGGAGAGAGGGAGAGATGGGGAGAGGGGGAGAGGGGGAGAAAGAAAAAGGGAGAGAAAGAGAGAAAGAAAGAAAAAGGTTTTTTGAAAAAAAAAAAACCCTGGACTCTCTATAGAGTAACTGTACCTGGAGATTCATTGAAGGAAGAGCCAATGTCTTCACAATTATAGCCCTTTTATGCACAGTGCCTGGCACGTAGTAGGTACTCAATAAATGTTAGTTGAATGAATGACAGATACATCCCAGTTTTTTTAAAATCAAACACATGACTCAAATATTGTAGCAAAATGTCCTGTTTTAAAAACACATATCCTTAAAAATTATTTACTTCTGTTGAAGTCTAAGTTTAATGTCATTTTTAAAAGAAGACAGAAGATTGAATCTAAAACATTTAAGAACTGAGAAACATTATAACATCAAAAATGAAAACTAAAGAACACATTTCCTTCATATAAAAGAATGTTTAATCAAAATGTCACACTCACCTCTGTAAGCAATATTGCTAGCATATCCTGCCTCTGAAAACGTATAGCCAGATGTACCAGAGTATAGCCAACATCGAAAGCCGAAGGACGGTTCAGCAAGCGCACTTCATCTGCAGTGAGCTGACGGGCAATGTCCCCTCCTGATGATTTGTATGCTTCTATAGCAGCTAAATCACCTTCTACAACCCCTAAAACAAGCATCAAGACAGAAAAAAGTTCAATTTTATTTTTCTTCAAAAAGCATAAACCTGTAGCATTCACTCTAAACTCTGATTCTCTGTGCTTCCTGGATCCCGGGGCATCATTTAAATGTCCTATAGAATATAAGGAAAATTGGGCTTCCCTGGTGGCGCAGTGGTTGAGAGTCCGCCTGCCGATGCAGGGGACATGGGTTCGTGCCCCGGTCCGGGAGGATCCCACATGCCGGGGAGCGGCTGGGCCCGTGAGCCATGGCCGCTGAGCCTGCGCTCCGCAAGGGGAGAGACCACAACAGTGAGAGGCACGTGTACCGCAAAAAAAAAAAAAAAAAAGAATATAAGGAAAATTATAGTGTATTCCTTTCCATTTCCTTCCAGAATTAGAACTGCCTAGTTAGGCACTTACCATCACATTAGTGCTGGTTCCATGCTCTGGTAATGTTTAGAGAAATTATTAGAATATATTAATTGGATCAAAGATCAACAATCTAGTGTGAGTAACTAGACTTCACAAAAGACACTAAGTTCCTGTTCTGGTCCTGGCTCTGCAGAAACCAAGGAGACAGGGATGTGCTTCCCGTTGGTGTTGGGCTGCTTTTGCCCTTTATTCTGTCTTTCTTTTTTTTGGCGCACTGGGCAGCTTTGCGGGAATCTTAGTTCCCGGACCAGGGATCAAACCCGGGCCCACAGCAGTGAAAGCACCAAGTCCTAACCACTGGACTGCCAGGGAATTCCCTACGCTGCACTTTTAAAACTGGATCAAAACAAATGCTGAGCCTTCCACACTACTGTTTTGTTAGCCGGAGACGACTTAGAGCAGTCAAAACTATTTTTAATGTAAGTAAAAGTTAGCAATATTTTGATTTCAGAATTTCTCTTAGCCAAGTCTTCCTTACACCCATTAAGAATTATTAATACAGTAAAACTTGAGCTAGATGATTCTGAACAGAAACAGGCTAAAATAAGACACTATAAACCAGTTGGGGAGTAGAGATACAAAACAAGTATCAATTTTTCCAAATCTATAAAGAACTTTCCATTCCCACGGAACCATGCTATTATTCTTAACACAAATTAATGTTAGGTAATGACAAAAATCCTATTTATTAAGCAGTACAGTACATCTATGGATAATAAATAGCCTTGGCAAAAAATGAAGGTGTAGTAGGTTAGCTTCAAATTTACCACAAATAGTATTACACACACACACACACACACACGACTGTAGGACTAAATAAGTTTGTTTCCTAAATTACATCAAGAAAAATTTGTTACATAAAATGCTACTACTAGCTAGAAATATTCTTAGGGTACTTTAAAAAAAAGCATTTTAAACTGCTATCTTGAATTAGGAATTAGATAAATAAGACCTATTCCTTAGATTATTACAGATTGATACAATGCAACAAGTTCCCCTGTTATTAAAAATAACAAAGCTTTAAAATGATAATTTCCACATTCACCGAATGCCCACGACACATAAAGCAATATGCTGGGCACTGTGAGAAACATAAACACAGTAAAAACATGATTCCTATACTCAAAACAGTCCTTCATCACATTTGTGAGCCATAAAAAGCCAGCGTCCAAGTTTTCCAACTCTGGGATCAAAGATCCCTTCTGCAAAACTAGATCCTCTCACCAGAAAAATGACCCCCTCCCCCTGAAACATATATTTTTCAGGTTAACAATCCATGATTTCAAATGAGAATACCTTATAGAAATTTTTATTTTCACAGCAACGTAGGTTAATACATTCCTCAATATAAACACCTAAGGACAGCTATAGCCCCCACTGCAATACATAAAGGACTTCAAGACACCCTTACAAGGCTTAGTGCCCTGGGGAAATCATCAAGGCTAAAATGTAATATAGTTGGCATGAGATAAGGGTAGGTGAACCTTCTCAAAAGGGCAAACCTCAAGAACAGACACACAAATCTAAAATCTGCTTAACTTGTTTTAATGAACAGATGAGAATAATCTAGTAGAGCTCATAACTTTTTGAATAATTTAATGCTGTATATTTTTTTCAAACTGAACATGCCCTACTCCATTTCCTTTTGTGTGTATATATTTCCTTATGAAGGCAACTATTGTTCACTTCAGTTCTATCAAAGCTATTAATAACTTTCTAGGTGTGTGCAGTATCACCACACCTTTTACAGTTCTTAGCTTCAACCTAAAAATATGTATTTATAAAATTTCTTTGTATGATGTAAGAAATGTTCTAGGCACTTCCAAAAGCAACACAAGGACCAAAAGGTCTGATTTACCTGAAAAGATAAAGAGGAAGACCTGCACAGTACATGTATATGCGTGTGTGTGTGTAAATACACACATATTTTTTTGTTTCCCAAAGACAAAGATGAAGTAGTCTAAAGGTAAACGTCAACTAACTTTGTTCTTTTGGTTGGAGGAAGGGGAGATCTTTTAAATCACTGTCTTCACTATTTTTAGCTAACTCATCAAATAGCTGATGTCTGAAAGAATCTCATCTTAGAAATACTTGCTTAAGAATTCATTTCCTCTCTAATGTTTCTGAAGGATTTCTGTAATTAGAAACTAATTAGCTAGCCGAAGGTGGGGAGGATTACAGACCAAACAGCACAACAAAGTCAGCAACTGTGCTTTGGAATTATGATTTACAGTCTGCCTTCAAACTAAACGTTTTTAATAAAAACAGAACTTCAAATGATGAACTGCATGGTATGTGAATTGTATCTCAATAAAGCTGACATATACACACACAAACTGGACTTCTATTTGGCCTAATCCAAGACATAAAAAACAATTATCTCCCCTGACCACAAGCTCTGCACTAAACTGCAAATAGGGAATCCTGCCCCGACTAGCATGGAATATACACAGGAGGGCAGAAAATGAGGGTGAACAGAATAGAGATTCTGTTCTCTATTCATCACAGCATAAAAAACCTCCAAACTTTCCAGAACGTGAAAAACACAAATTTAAGTATAGGGACAAAATAATATTTAAAAGAAAACTATTTTATTGTCTAATGTTTGGGAATATGTAATTCCATTCTTTTCATTAACCATAATTTAGAGCTCACAGTTTCAGTTACTGGTGAGTTTTTGGCTACAAAGATGAGTAAATTTATTACAAATCAAATTTCATGAGAATGTCAATGAACTGTCCTAATTTTTGTTGTATCTCTATTACACACTGCTCAAGAGGAGCCAGTGATTAAAGTTTCTTCACAGATGGGTTTTCACTGTAAACATGGTGTCTAAAGAATGTGTCCTATACTGAGATAATTTAAGTTTTAGCTACCACATGTTTTCTACTTGAGGGGGGGGAAGCATCAGATTATATGCAAAACAACTTACAAAATGTCTTTGAGTTCTTCACATAACATTACGTTTTTACCACCTTTTAAGATTACGGAATAAAACGGAAAGCAGGAAAAAAGTAAAAGAGTTGGTAGGTAGGAAAATACAGTAAATAAATCTAAGTGGTAAAACCTCACTTAAAGTAACAAAGATCAGGAAAAAGCGGGAAAGTTCCAGCAGAAGAGAAAGAGGTGACATACACATGCTTTCTAGGTTACTGACATATCACACTATCTCCAAGAGTAACTAAAGCATCTTAATATGTTGTTTTGAAAATTTAACAAATGTTAAATATTACATGTTCTGTCCCTTCCTCTTCCATGTTATGAAGGCAAATTAAAAAGACAGCTGAGGGCTTCCCTGGTGGTGCAGTGGTTGAGAATCTGCCTGCTAATGCAGGGGACACGGGTTCGAGCCCTGGTCTGGGAAGATCCCACATGCCGCGGAGCAACTAGGCCCGTGAGCCACAACTACTGAGCCTGCGCGTCTGGAGCCTGTGCTCCGCAACAAGAGAGGCCGCGATAGTGAGAGGCCCGTGCACCACGACGAAGAGTGGCCCCGCTTGCCACAACTAGAGAAAGCCCTCGCACAGAAACAAAGACCCAACACAGCCATAAACAAACAAATAAATAAATTTAAAAAGAATAACAACCCAAGCCAAGCTGTAGGATGTTATTTGAAATTCAAAATAGAGTCTCAGGAAGATAAATAAACCAAGTGCCCACTGTTTAAAAAAAAAAAAAGACAGCTGAAGGCACTCTAAGAAGATTAACTTTATAAAACTAATCTGCTGTATCAATATACATTCAAAATTGAGTGAACTACACAACTAGCTAAGTGGTGGTGCATAATTACAGATAAAGGAAAGTTAATATACTTTAAAAGCATAAAGACCTGAGAGTAAGTGAAATTATTAAAAAAAAAAAAAAAAAAGCTCATCTTGTTCTATAAGCTGGGCCAGGAGTAGAATTTAACATATTTTGAAGTCACGGGTCACAACTCACTGGGGACACTTCACAGCTACTATGGAACTCCGTTGGTTAGAATATGGAGCTGGCTCATAGATGTTTAGAAAACAGACTTATTTTTTCCCCCATATATGGCACCGTTTTCAAAGTTTTGCCTTGTTTCTTTTGACATAAAACCATAATGGTAACTAACTTTGAAAAGAATGCCAAATGGTAAAAAAAAAGCCAGGACTTACCTGAGCCCACATGGGCCAGCTCAACACTACCCTGGAGTTCTATGGTAGCTGTGACATCACAGCATGGTTTATGCTGTGGGGTCAGGGTGGACTTGGAGTCAGCTGGCACAATTTCAGGAGCCCTTAAAGAGAAAAGTTAGTTTTAAGTGGTAATGTTCAGAATGTCCTTTACCATGGTCAGTAGAAAGATGCAGATGTGGTGGCTACGAGGTCTGGGTAGTTTTCCTCTATTCAGAGTTTAATTCACTTAACTGTCTTTGCATATTAAAAAGGAAACTATACCACCCAGTAATACTTTTTCTTCATACTCCTAACCATTTGGCTATAGTTCAAAGACAAACTTGGCTTAGACAGACACAGCAATCTCTTTCAATACTCAAACATGACCTTCTTTTTAAATAAAATGACCTCAATATTTTTAAATGTATCTTAAG